CGTCCAAGAAAGCTCCAATGCCATGCCCTGGGGCCGGGGCGGGGGGTGGGCTCCAACAGAAGAGAGTAACTTGAAGATGCCCTCCTAACCCACATGGAACAGAGCCCCGGGAGGGGATGAGTGTGAGGGGAACCCATATTCCCCAAGGCACAAGCCTCTTACGGAGCTCCTAGGTTGCTGCCCATCCCTTTCCCTCACCTGGAGAATTGCCTTCACAGCGTCCCAGGGGATCAGGCCTTCGCTGCCAATCTCACCTGAGAGCTGGGGAATTTCACATGCTCCCCTGGGTCACGCAGGGTGAAGGTTCCTGGCTCCTCCATCAGACCTGGGGAGGCAGCAGGGTGCGGTCTGGGTCAGGTGGGGGCCACCCACTGACCCACCCCTTGGTGGCCCAGGGGGGTCTCTGATCCTGTCGGGGCTCTTCTCCCGGCATCATTTCAAGCTCCCAGAGGCAGACGGGGAGTGAATCCGTCCCGCCCAGCCTGGGCGGTTCTTTCCCAGTCCCACCACAAAGGGGAGTGAGTATCTCCTCCTGGTCCCCCTCACTGCTCCTGCTTCCTCCTCCCCAACCCAAGTGGCAGAACCCTTCTCTGAAATGCACTTTAGGTGTGGATATAACAATGAAAAACCTGCAGAGGACAGGATGCCCCACCCGGAGAATGGACAGCTGGACCTCTTTCCATCCAGCCAATCATCCTGTCCCTCCCCGTATCCTTCACTCCTCTATATTTTCCCCCTTATCCTCCTCCCCTCCAACCTTTCCACAGCGCAGTACTAACCTCGGCTCAGGTTTCCACGCACGGGGGCGCCGAGGTTGGGTGCCGGGGTCACAGCCTCTTTATTTTAACAATGAATCAGAACATTGCCTGGAGGCAGATGAAAGCCACGCCCCTGCTGCTCTCTCATAGGCTCTCTCTAGGTACTTTATTTACATGAGGGCTGAGACATTGGACAATCCCACGATAAGGGGCGGGGTGGAGGCGGGCGGTGCCTAGATGCCTCTGAGCGTGGGACCCACAGCACGTTTACCACCTCAGCACACTGATCTTCAGTGGGCCCTCCAAAGGACTAGCGTGAGTCTGTCTCATTCGGGTCTCTTTCTGGTGGCTTATTCCCGCTTCAGTCCCCTAAGCTGGCTATTGCCTAGACCTTGGGCTAGAGTCTTAACCTCTGTGCTTAGTTTCCTAATCTGTAAAATACAGGTAGTAATATTATCTGTGAGGGCGAAATGAAATGTCCAGGGGTTTTCAACCTCTATTCGCACACTTCCACTGATGCAACGCTTACTCAAATGCACAGTTGTCCCTCTTTAAATTTTTTTTAATCCTCAACTGAGGACATTTTTTCATTGCTTTTAGAGACAGAAGGAGAGAAGGGAAACACTGATGTAAGAGAAACATCAATGGGTTGCCTTCAGTATGCCTGAACCAGGAGTTGAACCCACAGCCTAGGCATGTGCCCTGACTGGGAATCGAACCTGAAACCTTTCAGTTATGGGATGGTGTTCCAACCAACTGAGCCGCCACGGCCAGTTCTCCCCTTTTAAAAAGTGTAACATTTTTGCCCTGGTTGGGTAGCTCGGTTGGTTAGGGCATCACCCAATATGCCAAGGTTGTGGGTTCAATTCCCAGTTAGGGCACATACAAGAAGCAAACAATGAATGCATAAATAAGTGGAACAACAAATTGATGTTTCTCACTCCCATTCTCTCTCTCTAAAATCAATCAATCATCTAACATGTTTAAAGCTAACATTTATTCAGCACATGTGCCACCTCCTAGTCCAAAATCTTTACATACATGAAGACAGGTAAGTGAAGGATTAAGTGCCACGATCTTCATTTCACAGCAGCTGAGGATCAGAGAAACTAACTCGCCAGTGTCACACAGCTGATAAGTGGCAGAGGCGAGACTAACACCCCGTGTGTCTGCCTCCACTGGCGACCACAGAGCATCCTCATGAATTCAGTCAGACAGACGTTCACGCGTAGCTGGTATACCCATGCCCGAACTGGGTCCTGGGGAGGTAGTTAGTACTGAATAAAATGTGGCTCCTTCTGAGATGAGGAGCCCACTGGCCAGTGGGAGAGAGCTTCTGCACAGATCATCCTGGCCAGGATGGAAGAGGCAAAGATACAGCTTTATGACAAAAATAATGAGCTTTCTGCTTGGTCCCAATTACTGTGAGCAAAACAGGGAGTAGTGAGACTCATGAGCAGTATCTGGCTCTAGCACTCCCTGGCTGTGTGATCTTGGGAAAGTTCCTTGACCTCTCTGTGCCTGAGGTGGGGTAGGCACTCAGTTTGAGTTTGCAGCTCAGGGTATGACCCATCCCCTAGCCCCACCCATCAGTAAAGCCGGAAGCTAACTCTGGTGGCCCCCCTGACAACTCATTAAATACTTATCGAACCCCTACTTTTGTGAGTTGTGTGTGCTGAGGATGCGTCCATGAACAAAAGATCAGAGCTCCTGTCTTTGTAACGCTTACACTTTGGTGGAGACAAACAGACCCCAAACTAGATAAATAAGCAATATATCAATTATGTTGGCTGATGATGGTGCTGAGGAGAAAGGTGAAGCAGGAAGGGGGTTGGAAGCAGGGCATGTGGTCAGGGACACCATACTGAGATGGCAACACCTGAGCAAAGACCTGGGGAAGGTGAGACAGTGAGCACGCAGGTCCTGGAGAAGCCTGTTTCCAGTTGAGGGGACCGATAACAAGAGGCTGGAGTGGAAGGAAAAAGGGAGCGAGGGGAACAGTCCGGCCCAGGGGTGGGTCGCCCTGAGCACTCTCCCTAACCCCAGAGCTGCTTGGCTGTGCCCTCTGTGGGACGGCTCAGGGTGAAGGATGTCATGGTGGCAGCCGAGGCAGCAGTCACCACCTGTCACCACTTGGTCCCAGCCTCACATCCTTTCTACTCCTGAAGTCTGTGCCTGCTCACCTCCACCTCTGCTCACGCCACTCTCTGTGCCTGGGGACACCCGTCTTCAGAGACCTGGGGAAGCAGAACGATCGGACAGTCCTGCTCCCACTCCGCCCCACTGAGCCCTGGCTTCCTCTCAGTCAAGTGGGAAACAGTCACCCCAGCCCTCCCTGCCCACAGGCTGGATGGAGAATCCCATGCTCTGGGCAGGTGAGACAGAGATGCAGGGGGCGGTGGCCCAATGAGCTGTGGCCCAACGAGCAGGGGCAGAAAGGAGTCATCAGGGCTGGCTCCAGCCCGTGATTACCCTGCACTGTGGCGATCAGGCTTTACTGATGCCTTTAAAGACTCTTGCCTTGATAAAGCTCCTAGAGGCCTCAACCCAAAGGGCCCACAAGATGGGGAGCAGCAGAAATGAAGAACCCCGATATGGAACACGGAGAGAGCAACATGGGAGAAGACAATCCTGGAATCAGAGTTTTTCGATTCCACTACTCCTGATCCTAGGCCTGGCAACACTGCCACAACTCAGTGTCCTTGGTCTGCTGGAGGAAGTAGTGGCACACATAGGAGACAGCGACGTCAAATACTAGTAAGCATGACAAACCGTAGATGTCAGTTGTAAAGGGCCCCGTGTCACTGGGCATGGGAGCAGACCCAGGTCAGATGTCTCAGCAGGCGCAGCAGCCGCACACACACTGAAGGCACACCAGAGAATGCCAGGCGCCATGGGAACTGGTTCACATGCATGGGCTCATTTTGGCCTCTTACGAGCAGCCCTAAGCGGTAGTTACCGTCTATCACCCTAGGAATTTGAAATAGACCCAGAGAGGTCAGCACTGCGAGGAGCTCAGACAGTGGTCCAGTGGCAGAGCCAAGATTCAAACCCAAAGCCTGCTGTGTGCACTGACTCTCAGGCCCCACTCTGTCCCCGCTCACAGGGGCCTGCGAGGGCAAGGCTCACACTCAGCTCTCCTGGGCTGGGTTCCGGAACCGCCCGGAGGCTGGCCATGGGCTCTCCCCTGGATGGAGGCAATCAAGTGGGGCGAGTCACGTCACCCGAGCACAGGGGAGGACAACTGGCAGCACGAAGAGCAGGTGGAAGGAGCTGAGAAACCAGTTCACAAAGCTTCCTGGCCACCAGCCTGGGCTTTGCATTCCCATGCCCAGGTGTGGCCTTCAGACCTGCATCAGCCATCATTACGTATCAGGCAGGTTTTGATGGTGACACAGGAAAGGACCTGCCCATCCCAGGCGCAGCCCAGCAGAGCCACTGTTCCTGAGCCCACCCAGGGGGGTGGGGGAGGGCTGCTCCTGGAAGGGCCTCCACAGGGAGAGGGGGGAAGACCTGCAGCTGTGCTCTCACCACAGCACCCCCAGTCCCCTGGACCACCCTCACACTATTCCTGAACTTCACTGGGCATGACAGCACATCTGACTCCGCGTCCCATCCTAGTGTTAAGGCCCAACACGGGTCCCCCAAGCAGCACGTAACACGAGACCCCTGTGCTCCAGCTCAGAGTCAGAGGAAGCAGTAAGCGTCCAGGGAGGAGTCCGGCCGTGCTCCAGAACAGCGCCCTGGCCATCCCCCACGGCACCGCGTCTACCTCTCGCAGGTGGGTTCTGCCGGGGGCCCTTCCCGGTCAGGGGGACAGCAGAGCATGTGAGGCAGGCCACTAATAAGCTGGGAAAAGGGAGGAACAAGGCTGGTTTTCACCAGCTCTGAAGCTAAACCCGAAGAACTGAAAGGAGGGTGGAGGAATGGCAGCCTTGCCCAACATGAGCCGGACTCCTGAGGGGTCTGCTTGGAACAGGCCATACTTTCAGGCAAGACGCATGTTCTTCAAGAAGGGTTAACCACTCCTGGCACCTGGGAGCTGCTGGCAGCCCGGGCAGCTGCCCCAGCTTGGGGAGGGGGCCCAGAGCTGGTGCTGCCTTTTCCCACCCCAGGGAAAACTGCCGCGGGGCGAGGATGCACCCAGCTCCCCAACCCCACCCACCTCCCCAGAAGCCCACCCCTGGCGTGCAGCACCAGGGTCAGGGATAAACAAACCACACTGCACTTAGTTTTGCAAACCTGGTGAAAGCCCAGTGGGGTATGTATTTGGGAGGATGCTCCGAATTCGGCCCGCAGGTTCCTCCCGAGGGAGGCTAGTTCTCAGCTGCCTGCTGCTTCTGAGGTGAAAGCCCCAGGCCTCCATGCAGGCTGGGCTGTGGGGACAGCCCAGCGGAGACAGGACCAGTCCTTGCAGCCCGGGCTGGGGCGCAGCCCGGTTCTCGGGCTCACTCTCCGCTGTGCTGTGCTTTGCCGGTCAGCCGGCGGCGCTGGGTCTTGCTGGTACGAGTAGCACTTGGGGGCTTCTTGGTAGAGTCCTGAGCCCGTCGAAGGTGTTTCCTCTTGACTTTTTTGTGACTGTGCGCGTGCAACGATGCCGTGAGAGAGGAAATCCTGTGGAAGGGTGGAAGGCTAGTGAGGCTAGGGCCTCAGCTTACCCTGTGGAACAGGCAGGAGTGAAAAGCTGTGTTGGGGGTGACTGATGGCCCAGCTTGTGAAGGGGAGTCAGGACAAGCCCCAAATGCTGGGGGTACCAAGTCCATTCCAAAGGCAGCCTGCTTTGACCCCAGAGGGCCTGCTGCTCCTTAGCTCAGAGACAGAAAGGGCCTTACCCCCAACCCCCGACACAAAGGGCACCCGGGGTAGGCTGTTCTTGGGGGTGGGGGTGAGGGACAGTGATGAGGAGCTGAGGACCACATGACAGGCAAAGCAAAGGGCTGCTCTGGGCCCCACACCTGCCCCACGCCACCCGGCACGAGCCAGCAGGAGACGGCTCTGCAGACTGGGTCATCAATGCCAGCCACGCAGAGCAGGCTCAGAGGGGAGAAGAGGCCAGGGCTCACCGCTGGGATAGCAGGGGGTCCCTGGACTTCCTGGGGAAGGCTCTGGTCGGCTTCTCCACGGATGACACCTCCTCCTCAGACCCAGGCCCGGCCCCTTGCTAAAGAAGCACAGGACAAAGACTGTCAGAGAGCGGTGGACGGGGAGGCCTGGGCTGGGGCTCAGGGAAAGCCGAGCACGCGCCGGAGCAGGGACTGCGCAGGCGAGAGCTGCGTTTCAGAGCCCTCCACTGCCTCGGCTTTCCACTCAACACTCACAGACAGGAGGACTCGAGAATGGGGACGAGGCTCGTCTCTGCATGGAACCTTCCAGAAGACGGAGCACACGACAGGAGGTGCGGGTACGTGAGACGGCGCAGTGGCTCCCGGCACACTGCAGTCCACGGCAGGAAATGCGGTGACCGTGCCACTGTGTGTGTGCAGTACACGCACAGGAACCCGCACACAGCCCAGACAGACACAGCTCTGACTGGAACGAACTTACTGCCGCTTAGCAGTATCTTCAGTGCTAATTCTCTCTTTTTTTATCCTTACCTGAGGACATTTTCATTTGGTTTTTGAGAGAGAAAGAGGAAGACAGAGAAACGCTGATGTGATAGAAGCCATCGATCGGATGCCTGCACACGTACCAGACTGGGGACCGGCCCCGGAACCAGGGACTGTACCCGTCCAGACTGGGAGCTGCACACGCCTGCCCCTGGACCAGGGATGAACCCGAAACCTAGATCTGTGCCCTGACCGGAAATCGAGCCCCCAACCCCTCAGTTACGGGGCAACACTCCAACCACAGCCAGGGCTATTTCTCTCTTTTTTAAAAATTCCGGTCGCAGCCTGCTGATAACTCACATCGCGTGAGCTGAAATCTCACTGTCAGCACACACAGACGTGATCACAGTAAACAACTGTGCTAAGTGCTTCTCGTCGGTTCACCATGTTTGACCTCCCAGCAATCGCACTAGGCAGGTGCCACCCTCAGCGAACCTCAGTTGACTGACGAAGGGAAGAGGAACGGCAGAGGTGCCCACGCTGCCACAGCCGCTCGGTGCTGGAAGTGGCCTGAAGCCCCAGGGCTCAAGGGTTTTGTCCAGACGCAGGAGGGACCGAGCTGCTTGCACTGGAATCTCCATGACACGGACTGGCTTTTAGCAATCACTGACAAGCCAGACTGCTCGTGTCCCTTCTTCCCCAGGGCTGGGAGTGACACTCACCTCAGGTGGGGCCAGTCCAAGCAGCCGGGCCCCAGAGAGGTCCAGGTCGCTGATGGTAGTCACGGTGACCGTGTGGTTGGGGTGGTCATACTGCACTGACTCTGTCTTTGCTGTCACCAGCCGGTCCAGTTCATCGGCCTCCTCTGAGCAGAGTGGACACAAAACTGGGCCTCAGCCCCGGGGCACAAGTGCCCAGGCTCCAGCCCCTCCCAACCCTGGACTGCAGTGGCCCTCGCTACTCTATGGGAGAGCGTCCAGAAAGTCACTGCCTCTACAGCCTGACCTGCCAGTAAATGCTGTAAATGATCCAACTCTCCTTTTGTGCGCCACGGAAACCTCAGACCACCTGCCCCCACCCGAGACGAGCCCAGTGTGACACCGGGAGCGGCAGCTGCCTGAGAAACCAGGCTGCCTGCTTGGGGTCAGGTGTGTTTGTTTGTTTTGTTAAGATTTTATTTATTTATTTTTAGAGAGAGGGGAAGGGAAGGAGAAGAGAGGGGAACATCGATGTGCGAGAAATAAATTGATGTATGAGAGATACATCAATCAGTTGCTTCTAGCTCGCCCCCAACTGGGGATCTGGCCCAGAACCCAGGCATGTGACTTGACGGGAATGGAACCAGCAACCGTTCAGTGTGCAGGCCGGCACTCAATCCGCTGAGCCACACCAGCCAGGGCTACTCAGGGTCAATTTATCAAGAGGTTTGGGTTGTCTCCTTGTCTCTGATTCACTCACATTTAGAGGTACCCAAGGCCAACCCCTGACCCCCAGGTCATCTGCAAGACCCTCAAGTTAAGGAAGTCAGCTTCCTTGCAGCCCCTACACCCTTACCCTCCCACTTACCAAGGGATAAACACACCCAGGCCTATTGGCCATTCCCCAGGTCAGGCCAAGGATGGGACTTACCCAGTGCCTCCTCTCTCTCTGCCAACATCTTCAAGTATTCCTGGTGGCGCTGAAACCAAAAGGGAAAGGAACAGTGAGTATGACGGCCTTTCAAGCCCACCTCGGGAAGGGGCATTGCCCACTCCAGGGCAAGCGAGTGAAAGACCAGGAGATTCCATCCTAAACCTTCCCTAGACCTGGGCCCAGTGTCTCTACCTGTACAACCTGCTTCTCAGGCCTGCTCACACCTCCCCTCATCCCTGCAGCCCCCCCACTCAGGCCAGCCAAGGCTGCAAGTCCCCTAAGAGTCAGAGACTCTCCTGCCCTCCCCCTCTGCACCTCCTCCCGGAGCTTCTTCTGTTCGCGCTTGAGGCGCTGCTTCATCTCCTCTATGGCTGCCTTCTTCCGCTCCACCTTCCTCTTGTGGAAACCTGTCAGGTACTCCCTGCAGGAGAGAGGCAAGGGAGAGTCAGGAGGGGCAGGGGAAGAAAGGAAAGCTCCAAAAACAGCTAAACTGCACTCACGACGCGCCAGGCATCGTTCCTGAACGCACACGTGTCAGCTCATGTGGTCCTCACCAGGAGTGGGTGAAAGGCCAAAGCCAGTGCCATTGGCTATCGGAGCGCCAAGCAAGCCTATGGCCTTGTTAAACATGACTGCCATTTTACTCTCCAAGCTCACGTCCCCAGGACTGGAACTTACAGAAAAAGCAAGAACAGAACATGACTAACCATCACCCCAGGCAGAAGATAACACTGGAGTGAAGTGCAGCTAACCCAAAACCAGCGGAAACCCGAGTTTCGCAGTGCCCCTAACAGCCCAGGGGCCCCACAACAGCAACAACCACCCTTTTACAATCCACTTATAATGCAACCAAAGCTCACAGCCCTCACCCCTCCGTGCTGGTGGCTCTCTCCACACCGTCCCCTTTTCTCCTCTTGGAAGGTTAATAAAACTTTGCTCTCTGACTTTTCTCCTTTTTTAAAAATACTTATATACTAAGTATACAACCTCTTTTTGCCAAGGATCTTATCTTTTTTTAAAAAAGAGTTATTTATTTATTTTTAGAGAGGGAATGGAGGGAGAAAGCGAGAGAAACATCAATGTGCGGTTGCTGGGTGTCATGGCCTGCAACCCAGGCATGTACCCTGACTGGGAATCGAACCTGCGACACTTTGGTTCCCAGCCCGAGCTCAATCCACTGAGCTATGCCAGCCAGGGCTTGACTTTTCTTCTTTGTGAGTTTTTTCACAGCCTGCACCACCCACCACCCTAGCAGTAGTACTAATCCATTCTACAGACAGGGTCACTGAGGCACACGGAGGCTAGGCTGTGGCTTGCCCACACCGAGTGAGGTTATGAAAATGAGGGAGATGCTGCCTCTTTCTACCCACTACCCTCCAGGGCTCTCAGCTTCAAGCGACAGGGCCAGGAGATAGGCATCAACTGTGGGCCTGTGAACCTAGATTAGGGGTGGCCTCTTTTATGCTGCCGAATTCCACTCCCCAGTGAATTAAGCCACTTCCAGTAGGACTTCCAAGGCCACCATTATCCAGACCTCTAAACTTTCTGCTGGACCAGCACCACATCCTCCCCCGGGGCATTTGCCCCTGAACCCATCTGTGCAGGGCCTGTGGACGCCCTTGCATTTCCCCTCCTCCCTCCGCCTATCTGATCTCAGCCCCTTCTCAGCCCTCAGTGGGTACTGACTGTACCCATTTCCATCCACTCCGGGCTCCAACACTACCTAGGTTTTTCGCTGGCCCAACCCGTATGCTACGGTGGGAGTAAATTCTGGTGAGTGGATAAATGAACTTAAGCAACTCATTTCACTCATCATTTATCACCAACAGCTGGGAGTACTACGTGCAGGCAGGCTGGGCTGAGCTAGAGAGGCCGAAGCCACTGCCACTGCTCTGAGACCCAAACTCCCAGCTCTCTGGCCGCAAACACAGAAGAAACACTGCGAGTTGGGGAGCCCAGAGAGCGAAGAGAGGGCGGGGCGGACGACTCCACTACACAGGACAGGGGCCGAATGAAGCCGCTTCCATTCCACAGAGAGGGAAGGGAAGCTCCAGACAACGTGAAGAGGGCGGGGCCGGAAGGGCCCTCTGCGTGAGCGTGCGCGCCCGGACTTGTCGTAGGCCTTGCCCGGCAGCCACGGGGGATGTGGTGCAGCCTTAGCACTCACCGCCGTTTCTCCTCGTCGAAGCTGAGGACGAGCCGCGGCCGTCGGTTGTCGCCATCTCGCTTCTTCTTCTTGTTGCGGCCCATAACTGTGAGGCCTGGGCGATGCTGTTCCCCTCTCCTAAGGTACTTCCGGTGCAGCGTTTTCGGCCTTCCGGGCGCGCCTCCAACTGTGCTCCCCAGTTCCGCTCACCAGGCCCAGTCTTTTAAAGGGACCGCCCCAGCCCGTCACCTCACCCCTTCTCTCTGGGTGTAAGGAGCAGTTCTCTGCCCGGAGACCCCCCAGTCCCATCCCTTCTTCTAAGAGAGCAACGGTGAGAGCGAGTCCCCGGGGTCCTAGCGCCTAGCACGGTCCCACTTTTGATTCTGTTAATTTGGTGGCCTTCAAGATCACGTTTCTGGAAGCAAACTACCTGGATTAGAATCCTGGTATCCCAATTACAGCTGCGTAGTGCTGGACCAGTTGCCTTTGCTGTGTCTGAATTACCCTGTTTGTAAAATGGAGATAATTATAGTGACTTTGTAGTTTTATTGTAAGGCAGTGGTTTATAAACTTCGGCGTGCACCAGAATCCCCGGGAGAGCTTGCTGAAACCCCGATCACTTGGCACCACTCCGGAGTTTCTGATTCAGCAGGTCTGGAGTGAGCCCCAGAATTTGCATTTCTAACACGTTTTTAGGTGATGCGGATGTTGCTGGTCCGCGGACCGAACTTTGAGAACATGATTGTGAAGAATAAATGAGTTATGTAACATGTGTTTCCTGCACAGGCTGTCTTCCCTCTCTATGCCTCAGTTTCCAATTGTGGAATGGGGTGTAATAACTTATCCTCTACTGAAAATGAGGGCACTAATGTGAAGGCATTCAGTGAAACAACACCTGAAGGGGAATTTTAGTAAGTGGAATTGCAGGCCTGAATCTCCCTGTAAACAATAACATGTAAGGAGCCACGTTAAAATGGAGCCGGAGCTGCCAGCCTAGAGGGACTGCCTTATGCTCAAATCTTTGGAATGTTAAAACAGGGCAAAATAACTTCTGGTCCAGGCCTCAGCAACCTTGCTTCCCAAAGAACTGTTTGCAAAGAAAATAAGAAAGCAGTTATCATGACTAAGGGACTGATGACCACTGAACCAAAAATTTCAAACATTTAGCATCTCTGTGTTATGTTATCTGCACCAATGAAATGCCTTCCTTGTATTGATGTAGCTGTTCCCCCTCCCAATCTCAGGAATGTCCCTTGCCTTTGTCTCCTAGCAGAATATTTGGGCTTCTGCCTGAATTAATGATTCTTGAAGAGCTATCCTTACTAGTCTCAAATAAATGCTCGTTTGCCTGTTACTTTGAAAGGCCCTTTTATTCTTAGGTTGGTATTCCATTCTCAGCTTATCTGTGCTGGGTGGACCTGCAGGGTCCATGGTCATCACATTCTAGGGAGTGATACCTCTGCAGAAGCAGCACAGGAGGCTGCCGGAGTTCAGGGCTGGCTCCTCCAGTACAGAGCGCTGCCCAGAGGAAGCGACCCCAGAACTGGCTGAGGGCGGGGGTAACAGAGGAATAAAAGACTCTTAGAACCCAACCCTCTCCTTTGATAAGAGACTGGATCCCAGAGAGCAAGTAAACTTACATGAATTGAGTGCCTGCTGAGGGCCAGGCACACAAAGGGAACAGAACTCCATCATCTCAGACAGGGGAAGTGACTGGTCCAGGGAGACACTGCTGCTCTGTGGCAAAGCTGGGACTTGAACTTGGTTTCCTGGCCCCATGGCCCAGCATCCTGGGCCACTGGCCAGAGGGATCACTCTTCCAATGTCTAGCATGGGCCCTTTGGAGGGCAAGATGCAGACCCTGAGGCCCTGGCCAGGTAGCTCAGTTGGCTTGAGCATCACCCCCGTAAGCCAAGGTTGTGGGGTTTGACCTCTGGTCAGGCCATGTACAAGAAAGCAACCGTTGGATGCATAAATAAGGGGAACAAAAAATTGATGTCTCTCTCTTTCTCTCTTCCCCTCCCTCTCTAAAAATCAATTAAATAAATTAACAAGATGTAGACCCTGAGTTTTGAAGGAGCCAGGCACATAGTAGGTGCATCTCTCCATGAGTGTTGAACCCATTCATCAAGGGCCCTCTGCCTGGGGGATTCCATGTCGGTGCTGAGAGGGTTATTCTAAAACCCAGGACACAGCAGGGGTTGCCTGAATGGTGGGGCTTCAGGGTGATGAACAGTTGCCCCTTTGACCCTCTGTTGCCTGCTGGTTGTGCCCTGCTGTCCCCCTTGCCATCCTCTCTCTGGATAGGAGCATTGCCCTGACTACAGTCATGTCCCCACCCCAAATATGCCCAGAGAGCCACCTCCTACAGCTAGACTGCCTCCTGTGAGTCCCGAGCACTGGGTCTCAGGGCAGCTGCCTGCTGTTTCCTAGGCTTCACCTACCTCCCCTCCCCCCACCCTACCAAACTGGCTGTAGATGGAAAGTGATGGGCCTCCTACCAGACTTGATAAATCATAAACCTTCCTGGGCCTCTTCCTCTCCATGGTTCACTCATTCAGTCTCCCACTGTGCGGAAGAATGTTCTCAGGGCCACTCGTGGATTATCTCAGTCCTCGCAATCTCTTCGTGAGGTTGGCGCTGCTTTGTCCCCATTATACAGGTGAGGGGTCCGAGGCTCAGAGAGGGGAAGGGACGTGACCAAAGACACCGGGTTAGTGAGTGGCGTGCAGCCCCATTCCCTGACTGCCACCCTGGATGTGGAGTGGTTCTGCCCTTCAGAGCTCCCGGCCTGGTGCAGAGACGGACGGACTGCATCAGGAGACAGCTGCTTGTGCGGGGCCTTGCGTGGGGAAGTCTGTGCAGGGGGCCTTTGGAGCCCACCCAGCCCGAGCTGCTGGCCCACACGGGGCTCAGAAAGGCTTCGTCTGCCCAGCTCCCCATGCAGAGGGAAGCCTGCCACCTCTGGCGGTGGCTTTTGCTCCAGACTCTTCCTAGGGAGTTTCGGGTCCCCTTGTCCCAGAAGGAGACAAGGAAGCGGCGACCTCACCCAGATTCCAAAAGCTCGAGAGCCCTTTACTACAGTGCAAGGTCCGAAACACCCAGCACCCTTTTGGGCATTATTTTTGAAATTTGTCTGTTTCTTGAGCACCTACCGTGTGCCAGACACAGCGAGAGATGGCGCATTGTCTTAGTTGAAATGATAAAGAGGATAAGCAAAAGGAATTTTCCCATTTACTTAGCTTTTTAGACAATTATCTTTTTTGAGTTATGAGCCCGACTTTACTGAGGCTCAGAGAGACGGGGTCACCGCCCAAGGTCACACTGGCACCGAGAGCAAATGCTGAGGGCGGAGCCCAGGTGGGCTCCGGCCAGAGTGCTCTTGAACTTCTCTGGACTTACTTTTGTAGGCTTTTTGTTTTACGTATTTATTTTTTATGAGAACAACATGTGTCAATGACAGTAGTTTCATAGGGTTTTTAAAACATTTTATTTATCTTTAAGTTTTATTTATTTATTTACAGAGAGAGGGGAAGGGAAGGAGAAAGAGGGAGAGAAACATCAGTCAGCGATGCGGGCATGTGCCCCGACCGGGAATCAAACTGCGACCTTTTGCTTTGAGTAATGACATCCACCCAGCGGAGCCACACCGGTCCGGGCTCACACACTCTTGCTTGATACACGGTGAGTCTTAAAAGAGGTGCAGGAGCCTTGGCTGGGGAGCTCAGCTGGTTAGAGCGTCGTCCCAATGCTCCAAAGCTGTGGGTTTGAGGGCCCACACAAGAATCAACCACTGAATGCATAAATTAATAAATGGAACAACAAATCGATTTTTCTCTCCTTCCCCCCTCTCTCTAAAATCAATTTTTTTTAAAAAAAAGGTGAAGGACACCAACATTTACAGAGCCCTTACTATGTGCCATTATCTTCTGCATTATCTCAGTTAATTGTTGCAACGACCCCACAGGGTAGATACTAGTATCAGTGCAATTTGATAGATGAAGAAACCGAGAGGTTCAGAGAGGTTGAGTAACTGGTCTGAGGGCAAACAGTGATGGAGCTGGGGTTCAAACACGGGTCTAATTCTGAGCCATTTCCTTCCTCCATATGCAGTGGTCTCGTTCTTATCTTTCCCTGGCTTTCCTCTGGCTCGGTGTAGTCCCATTTCTAGTGTATGGTGGGCTTCAGCCACTTTAGGGAGAATCAATGTGCGTGGACTCTAAGGGCCAGAGCAAGACGGTCAACGGGACGCTTCCCCCAATGTCCAGCAGAGGGCAACCCTCCACAGCCGGATTTCCAGAGCTCCTCCTCTTTGGGTGGTGAGTTAGGAGACTTAGGAGAGCCTGGAGGCTGGGTGTGGCTCACAGGAGCCCCCACCAGTGAGTTCCATCCTCCTCCGCCCTCTTTTAGACTCGCGCTCCCTAGGGGACCCACTGAGGTTCGAATCTTCCATCCAAAAGCATCCAGGTGTGAATAATAACCCCCACTTTGTAGATGAGGAGGGTTAGGGACGGAAGAGACCTACCTACCCAGGGTCCCTTGGCTGCTGCTGGCTGTCCTGGGCAGTGAGATCGTCCAAGCTCCCACCCCAAGGCTCAGCCGAGTCTGGTACGGACCAGGGCATCGTGCTGCCACTCAGAACCTCGCTCTCCCCTTCAAACTGGGGTGGCGGCAGCAGGGAGGAGAAACCACTCCTAGGGGTCCGCCAGGGGTCACGAACCACACTGGGCCTCCCTCACACACCTCACTTAATCCTGGAGTCCCCTCCCGCGCGCGTCACCGAGGCTCAGGCCAGTTAAGGCACACACGGCCACACAGCTGGCAGCCCTGCCCCTCCGTCAGAACCAGCTCCTTCTGGTCCAGGGAAATAAACGGTGCCCAGTTACTCCTCCGGTTGCGCTGCCCTGACACCCCGGCACAGATCGCTCTGTCCCTCCCTCCTTCCCCCAGTTTCACTTATTTCAGCATCTTTTGAACAGCTACTGCGTGTTGGGGCCCACGTGGCTGGGAGCTGTTAGAGGGCAGGGACTAGTCGCCAAGCCCCCTCCTGGGTACTGAGCTCTCTTCTTGGCCTGGGAGACTCAGGGGAAGATGTCACTGTCCCTTAGCATCGGGGACGTGGACAGAAGTGAAGGAAGGGACAGAGCCTGGGGCAGTTGGTAGAACCGACGCACACACACACGCACACACAGATGAGGCTGGTTCAGAGGCAGCTGCCTTTATTGGGAGTTACAGGTTGCTGGCGGGCTTCATTCAAACATCAGACACTTGAGCTTCAGGTCACCGTGTATTTCCAAGTAATTGATGACGTCCACGTTGTGGCGGTTGGGGAACTTGAATATGTGTCCATCGGGCAGCTTGGTGGTCAGCTCTGCCTCGTCGAAGGAGACGCACACCTTGGGGGCGGAGAAGGGCCGTGAGCAGTGGTCCCCCAGAAGGAGCCTCAGCGCAGCCACAGCCAGGCCCCCCCCACCGGGGTCCCCTTCCTCCCAGAGCCCTGACAGCTCTTCTACGTGGGTGAGGCCGATGAGGATGGGAAGGCGTTGACACAGTGGGCAAGGGAGGGCGGGGCTATGGCAGGGGGGGAAGGGACAGAGGGGACCCAGGCCTCTAGACACTAAGCCCAGCTCTGCTCCAGCCCACCCAGCTCCTGCCCCACCCCCCGACCCACCTCTATGATGCTTCCAGGCTCCAAAGGGAAGACAGAGTCCCGAAGCTCCGTCTCCCACGCCCCTGCCTTCCTGCTGTTGAATATCAGCTTTCTGACGTCCCCGTATAATTTGAAGCGAGGATTGAAGTGCAGGTTCAGATTGTTCTCATCTTTGCCCAAGTTCATCGTGAAGCTAGGGGGTGACAGGTGGGCGGACTGAGGCCTCCACGGCCAGCTGTAGCCCCCTCAGACTCACCAGTCTGCCCTGTTCAGGGCGGCATCTACCTGGGGGAACTCACTGAGCTGGGAGGCACGAAACCTGACTTCAGCTCCTGGCCCTGCCCCCTCCTTGCTGTGTCCCTGTCCCTCTCTGAGCCTCAGTTGCCGCATGTCCACAGTGGGGGCTGCACAAGGAGGATGTCTATGGGCCTTGCCGTGCTGACAGCCAAGACTCTCGCAGACAGTAGTTTGTGCTCCAGCCCCTTCGGGCAAAGTCAGAGACTCCGGACGGTGACCTCTGGGAGCGCAAGGGTTCTGTCTGCCCTGTATGTCTTTGTAGCCCCGGTGCCCAGCATGACGCATGACACGCAGTAGGTGTGCAATAACTGTGGGGCCAGTGAAGGAACCCTAACACACTTGCTCAGCGGAGGTATAGCAATCCTTGCCCCTGCGGGTTTGTTGAGAATGAAACGTATCACGCATGGAGGGGTCTGGGGCTTTGATAAGGTCGGCCTGCTCTCTCCTCCTCTCGGAGAGACCCAGCATCTCACACCCTCCACACAACCCTTCCGCTCCCGAGGTTTTGGTTTCCTGATTAGCAAACTAAGGCTCAATGCTATTGGTTGGCTCGTCCAAGGTCAGTCACATGGCTGTTGAGAAAACAGACCGGCTGGCTGAAGGATGAGTTGATAAAGGACCAAAAGAATGAAAGGTTGAGTGAGCGAACAAACCCGACAAAGAGGGACCTCAGAGGAACAGCGCTGGACGTGACACCCCCTCCCGTTCCCTTTCCCCACTCCCCTGGCAGCCTCAGCTCCTGCCCAGAGCCAGGAGGTGGGGGCCAGCCAGAGCAGGCGATGGAGCCACAGCTGGTTTAGTTTAAGAGGCTCCAGCAGGGAGGGGAGGGGAGGGGAGCGACAGTGGTGGTAGGGGCATCCAGACCCTGCGGAGGAAGTGACTCATGCGGAAAATGCAGCTTCGGCAGCAGCCAGAGTGAATAGCCCCCCCCCACACACACACACCCCGCTGCCGGAGGGTAAGGGAGGAGTGGGACCAAGCCAGTCACACCGCCACCTGACCTCCCATCTGACCCGAGGGCTCTGAGCCCCAGGCGCTGCAGCCCAACAGCCTGCCTTGGCTTCCTTACCTTTTGGGGTCGGCGGCCACCTCGCCCTGCACTCGAATGCATCCCCCAGGTTTGAGGTTCAGGTTTTGGATCACCAGACCCTGCGCAGACAAGACCCCACCCAGGTGGTTTAGAGGGTGCAGTGTCCGTGGTTGTGGGGGTGGGGTCGTCTCTGCCCTGGATCCTCCGACCTGGCCAAGCCCTGGGGGACCAGGGGCAAGTTCCCACCTTTCTTTCTCTGCGTGGCCCTGGGCAAGTCCCTGCTCCCAACCCCGGCCAGTTTCCTATCTGTAATAAGACTGAGGTCCTAGAGGCCAAGTTCAGAAGTTTTTGCAGTTCAGCTTGGAGATTTTGGATTCAGGGCACCTTGCCGCCTCCTGTAATAATGGAGAGCATCAGACTCCTTTTGAGTGAGGGAGTTGGTGGGGGAAAAAAGGTGAATGATGGTCCATTCACCTCTCTGCTGGAGAGGAAAGGGCCTGGAGCTGGAAGGAGACCCCCCAGCGTCCCCTTGGAGCCCCTCTGCAGAGAGGGGCAGGGGCTGGAGAGAACACCTGCGGAGCAGGACCCGGCCCCTCCACAGAAGGGAGGCTGGCATTGGCCCGACTCTTGACCCCGTGGCTGGCCGGGGGTCAATATTGAATGCACAGCCTAGGAGTGAGTGGTTTCTTCTGCCAGACACTTGAACCCGTTCCCTCCGGGCCTGAGGAGGATTCCGTCTCCTTCTGCCTCATTAGCAGAAGTTTCTACCACCCCCGTCAGACCAGCCTGGACAGAACCACCCTCCACCCCTAGCCCAGGCAGGCCCCTTCCCAGGCATCCCGTGTCGGGTCCTCGAAGCTTTTCACAGCTCTCCAGAGCCGAGGGTGAGTGCCCTGGCCCACAGACTGGGGACAGCTGCAGGGGAGAGGGGTCAGGAGGCTCTTTGGGGTGGGGAGAGGGGGAAGGGGCTGAGGCCTGAGGGCCAGCAAAGCACCCCTCCCCCGACCCCCAGCAGGCCACACCCTTTCCACTCAGACTTTTCAGAGAGCTGCAGAATGTCAGACCTTGGTAGAAATACCTGCTGTCAGACCCTGGAAAAACCCAGAAAGTTCTTAAGCCAGAGAAAGACTTGGAGGACCATGGTGCCTGCCCCCATCTTAGAGACACAGTCACTAAGGCCCAGAAGAGAGAAGGTACTTGCCCAAGGCCACACCATCGGGACTAGAACCCAGATCTGCATCTGCCTGCACGCTCCCCAGCTGCCCGCCCCACACCGCCCCGAGCCTGGGGGCGGGGTCCCCACACTCACAACAGTCATGACTGCGGACAGGAGGTCAGCCCTGGGGGTTGCAGAACCAGCAGCCTGAAGACTCCACTGGAGAGAGGAGCGATGGGCCCTTTAATAGGACCAGACCCCAGTGAGTCCCGCCCCTGGGAGCTCAGCCAATTGTAAGTCAGCACAGGCACAGAGATCACTGGGGGCGGAGTCCTCGGACTTTTGAAGCCAGTTCCCAGGGGAACTGACCAATAGATGAGTGACCCCTGTTCCATTCCTTCTTAGTCTCTCCCTGGAGCCCAGGGTCCAGGCTCCACCTCTCATTCCCCTTCATCCCCACACCCCCATTAATTTTTTTTTTTTTTTTTAACGTTGGGCTGAGGCAGGAGCTGGAGAAAGCCAATGGAAAATAGTTTGAGGATGAGTTCGGCCCAGGAGTTGGTGGGAAGGGGCTTAGGGCCAGAGGGCTGAGCTCAGGGGTGCCCAGGGAAGACCGCCGAGGGGGTGCAGGGTCCTTCAGGGGATCCGAGCTGGGGCTCCTGAAGCTGCACCCTGACGGGGCCAGCGAGCGACTCCCTCGGTGGCTCACCACAGAGGGCCCCGGGCCCACGTAGCCACCACAAAGCCCGGGCCCCCACCCGGGCCTTTCCTGGAAGTGGGGATTGCGGTGGTTGCGTGTACTTCTCACTAACGCCAAAGAAAGGCTGGGCCAGGTGCCAAGTCTGAGGCTGCGGCCAGGGTTCAGGGCCGAGGCCTCGGGTCCTCCTGAGGGACCTGCTGGGGATCTTCCGAGAGCCCCTGCGTGACAGCCTCTGGCCCGTCCCAGAGGGTCAGGCCTGGGAGGGGTCCAGGCTGAGCCAGGCCGTGCGGTGTTAGGGCTCCTGCTCTGCTGCCCACTCTCGTCCACTGTCCTCACATCTCTCCCTCCGAGGCCACGCAGAGCCTCATCTTCCCCCATCTGTGTGGCAGCTGTTTTACTGAACGCCTACTATGTGCCTGGCCCGGAGCTGGTCTGAGAGAATGCAGTGATGAAACATCCCCAGTCCCTGCTCTCAAGCAGCCCACTGTTAGGGCAGAAGGTGGCTGTGGACCTCCTGAAGGAACAGCATGATGCTGGCTCTCGGGGGGTCGCCAGCAAGCACCGTGGTGGGAGGGACGCTGTCCAGCGTGGGAGGGTGGGCCTCACAGCAGCACAGGCGAAGCAGGGGGGCTGGCATTCCCGGCCGAGCGGAAGCTCTGGAGTGAGGAAGCACAGACTGGGGAAGAGTGAGTCCGGCTTGGAGTTCGGGGTGCGCTGGGGAGAGATGGGGCATGAGGCTGGGCAGCCAACAGTACCCGGATCAGGACAGGCCTCGTGGAGGGGCCGGGACATTGTTTTATCTGAGGGTGCCGGGGAGCCACAGACGGTTATAGGGAACGTGAGCGCTGGGGCCAGATCTGGGCTTCAGGGAAGATCCCTGTAGCAACAGAGTTGGGGGTGAGTTGGAGTCGTGCTCCCTTTACACCCGCAGCCAGGTGGGGAGGCGGGTGTGGGGCGCTGGGGGGGGGCGAAGGGGAGGCTCGCCAGGGAAGTGGTCAGTGGGCCCTGCGTCCTTATATCGCTGTCTTCCTCCCGAAATCTCAGCACCAAAGAGGAAAGATGGGGATCAGGAGTGACCCGCCTCGGGAGGTCAGGCCAGCACGCCCGCCCTGCTCTCCACGGCTTGCCCAGCCCACCCCAGTTCGCCTCGCCCTCCTCCAGGTGGCTGAGGCCCACCCTGGCACAGGAGGACTGGGGAGCGCATGGTAACGCAAAGGGCACAGCGGGGAGGCTGGGCTGTGCCCACGGGGAGCCCCCTCCCCCTCCTCCCAGACGAAGCAAGCTGCCTCAGAAACCAGCCACCGCAGCTCTGCTCTTCCCCGCAGGGCCTTCCCCACACCTCTCCCTGGAGGGGGGCGGGGGTACAGCCCCGCTGCCTTTCCACTGCGCTTCCCCTCCAAGGGCCACAGGCACCCCCTCTGCCTGATCGGGGAGTCCGGGCACTTCGGGAGGACGCCTAAGCCAAGGACAGAGGTGCTTAGGGCTCGGTCCTCGCCCAGCTGCCGTCCGGCGGGCCCAGCCCCGTGGTTAGGGTGGTTATGATAAGGGGGCTTAAGACTTGGGAAAATTTTAGCTTAAGGTAAATAGCCATAAATCTAGCAAGTAATGTGTATGTTAAGTTTTTGTTTCAGAAACTACAGATAAGGCCCATCCCGGTGCCTGAGAAAAAGCAGCTGACCTCCTGGGGTATTAGCTAGAGATTACCGACTGGAGACATCCCTGCCTGGAGACATCCCTACCGGGAAGAAGCAGGCGACTACCCCTCCCCCTTGGAATTTCAAGGCTTTCGCTGACCCGTTTGCCCTCCCCCAACCCCCTTATAAAAGATCTGGCCAGGAAAGAAAGGGGAGGAAGGTTTGTTAGGGTATGAACCCGCCATCTTCTCGGATCGCTGGCCATCTGAATAAAGCACCTATAAAAGATTCAATCGCTGTCATTGCTTATTGGATTTGGTAGTGACAGGCAGCCCGAACGCCGGTGTCTTTTCTGGTTCCAGTTAGGCTCTCGGGGCCCTGAGTGCTGCTTCTCCATTCTACCCCCAACCCAAAGACTCGCCCAGAGGCACCGGGGAGCATTTGCCGTTGCGCGTGGGTTCGCTTTACTCCTCGTGGGCATCCGGCCAGCCACGGGGTGGCAGGGAGATGTGTGGAACGGTGAACAGGGGCGCCCTAGAGAGGCCCCTTTGAGAGTCTGGAGACTTGGCTGCTGGTCCCAGCCCTCCCCCAGGCATCGTGGCGAGTCCCTTCTCCCCGTGTGCCTCAGGCGCCCCGCCTGTGTGTTGGAGAGGCGCAACCCTGCTCTTCTGTACCAGGTTAGCACAGGGCGATGTTCTGATCTAAATAGGTTTTTTGTGGGGTTTTTTTTTTTCATAGTCTCAGAAGGTGTTAGCTTCTTTTCCCAGGCTGTTTACCGTCCTGGGGTCAATGCCTCTGGAAGGTTCTTCCAACCCCCACCCCACCCCCATCAGTGCCCCGCTGCTGAGGCTGAGGCAAGGATCTCTCCAGATCCCAGTGTCCCCTGCAACAGGGACTGCGGTTTTCCTGGGGACAGGGGCAGGGGCAGGGCACCTTGTGTGGTGGCACCCACTTATCTGCCAGGCCCTGCGCCCGGCGCCTCGCTTTCATACGTGATCCCATTTCGTCTCCACCTGGCCGCGTCTCGTCCGGCAGCTGGGCTGAGCCACACAGGGACGCCGCCCGGGCCCTGAACTGAAGCTCCTGTTAGACTCGGGGAAAGGAAGGCAAGTCCTGGTGTGGATGGAGGCTGCCTGGCTCCGACTGGAGCCGAGTCCTTGCCGTCTCCGAACCTGCCTCCGGGCCTGAAGAGCGGGAGCTTTACCCAGTCCGTCCCCAGCTGGCTGGAGGAACCCATGAGTGACAGGTGAGGGGCTCCGCATGACTTCTCTCTTCTGCGCCTCCCCAGGCCAAGGCCCCTCTCCCCCTGGGCCTTCCCTCCCCGTTCGGCAGTCTAGAGTCCCTCCATCCTAAGGGCCTGCCCCTACGGGCTGGACCTTGCCTGCTGCAGGAGATGAGCTCAGCTTGTCCGGGGCCCTGCGGCCCTTCCCAGCCTGCCTTGCCCTTGTGAAGGCTGGGCCTCCTCTGGCCGGCAGAGGTGGGGAGGGCTGCTGGGCCCACTGAAACACCACCCACAGCCCCAGCCCCTGCCAACCTGGCTGGCCCAGGTGGGGCAGGGGCGGCAACTGGACCCAGGAGTCCTAGACGTCGGAGCAGGCAGGGACCCCAGGTTCCACTCCTTCATTTGCGGATGTAGTGACCAGCCAGCACAGTAGCAGCCTGACCAGGGTCACACAAGAAGCTGGAGCCGGTCCATCTGCTGAGCCAAGGAAAGAACGCTGTGGGCCTGGTATACCTGGACCTCAAACAATGATTTTTTGTTTGTTTTTTTAATAAAGATTTTTATTTCTTATTTGTAGAGAGAGGGGGGAAGGGAGGAAGAAAGAGAGGGAGAGAAACATCGATAGGTTGCCTCTCACACACCCCCTATGGGGGAACCTGGGCCGAAACCCGGGCATGCGCCCTGACTGGGGATGGAACTGGTGAATTTTTGGTTTGCAGGCGGGCACTCGGTCCACTGAGCCACAGCAGCCAGGGCGATGATCCTTTTTTTGGATCCTGCCACATGACGGGTAGAAAGGACTGGTGTGTGGGGTGGGGAGGGGGGCGCAGAGAACTGCACTCCCCCACCCCGCCCCCCTTCAGGCATTTTCCAACTGGTCTGTGCAGCAGGAGCCTCCCCCGGCCCACACCCCCTGCACCTCGCTCATCCATTCTCACCCCCTTGCCTTTGCTTGTGCTGTCCCTCCCGCCCCGCGGCCACCTCCCCAGACACGGTGGACGTCTGCCCCTTTCCCCTTCCCGCCTGGTGTCTGTCCCCACCTCTGCTCACAGGCCCCGACCTGCCTGTGGGTCACCACCCCCTTTCTCAGGAGGCCCGGCTGGGGCCAGGCCTGTCATTCGTTAGCCCGCCGGGGCTCAGGCATGAGTCTTTTCAGGGCTTGTTTGTTTTTTAAGTTTCCTTTTGTCATAATTATAGACTTATAGGCAGCTAAGAGCTCCGAAAATAAATATTTGAGAACTGATAGAAAAGAAGTATTGGTTTCCAAATTGTAAAACTGCAGAACTGGAATGAATATGTGTTTACTGTGCTCCAGGGAGTTCCGGGCAGGAAGGATGCAGGTGCGGGAGGCCTGCCCCGAGGTGCATCCCGATGGGGATGCCGGGGGTGGGGGATGGAGAGGGGATTTTAGAAGCAGCAGGAGAGGAGCCGTGGATCACCCGCAGGGGAGCGTCCCATACGTAAGATCATCAGCTGATTTCTCGAAGGAGCCTCCGCAGGCTGGAGGGACTGGCAGGAAGTCCTCGGGGTCAAGAAAAGCAGGAACCTACACCAGGGTTGCTCTACCCAGCAAAGATATCATTTGGGACTTCTGGTCAAGATGGAGGCAGAGGCAGGCACGCTTTGCCTCCTCGTGTGCAACCACGGGAAGGGTCACAGCCGACCTCAGAACGAGAAACACCCGGAACGGCCAGGCAGTCGAACTGTATGGAAGCCTGACAGCCGAGGGTTTGAAGAAGCCACATGCACCCAGCTGGGCAGGAGGGGTGCAGCCGGGGAGCCAGGGTGGAGAGGACGCTGTGCGGGGGGCAGGGGGGGGGCGTCAGGCAGCGGCAGGTGGGCAGGCGGTCCCACATTCACGTGTGGTGGACAGAAATTGGGAGGGACACCTTGGTAGGGAGCGATCCCAGCCCCAGGCCGGACCAGAGAGCCCACGGTTCCAGGGCCAGGGAAATGAATCCCCATAACTCACTCGCAGCTGCTAAAACCAGCGGGGGTTGGGGCAGCAGGAGATCCTGCCCCTCTCTCAGGAGAGAGCCTTTAAAGGGCCTGCACGTTCCTAGAACACGGGCCACCCACCCACCCTGGAAACCACCGCCGGGCCGCCACTGGAAGGGCGCCAGCCGCATAGGGGAAGTAGGTGCAGTGAGTGGAAACAGGGTGAGAGCCGCGCAAGCCCCCGGCAGCCCGGCAGCAGCACTGTCCCCTCTCCGAGGCTCCCCCCCCCCCCCCCCACAGAGCCACAGAACAGCTCAGCGGGCTGCCCTGCCCGGCGAATACCTAAGGCTTCACCCCACGCAACGTAATGGGTGCACTGAGGCAGAGAGTCAGCGCAGCTCTACCTAATACACAGAATCAAACACAGGGGGGCTGCCTCATTGAGGAGACGAAGAAATATGGCCCAAATGAAAGTACAGAACAAAACCCCAGAAAAAGAGCTAAACAAAGCGGAGACAGCCAACCTATCAGATGCAGAGTTCAAAACGCTGGTGACAGGGGTGCTCAGAGAGCTCGGTGCGCACGGCGCACGCATAGGGAAGAAACGAAGCCTACACTGACTGAACACAGACAAATCCAGGGGAGCCGACAGTGACGGGAAGGAAGCCAGGGTTCAAATCAACGATTTGGGGCGTAAGGAAGAAATACACATTCAACCAGAACAGAATGAAGAAACAAGAATTCAGAAAAACAAGGACAGAGTAAGAAGACTCTGGGACATCTCCGAAAGTGCCGACATCTGAATCATAGGGGTGCCAGAAGGAGAAGAGGAAGGAATAGAAAACTTATTTGAAAAATAATGAAAAAAAAAACTTGGTTAATTTGGTGACGGAAATATACATACACGTCCAGGAAGCACATAGGGTCCCAAAGAAGCTGGACCCAAAACGCACCATGACACATGACACATCATAATTACATCAGCCAAGATTAGTGATAGGGAGAGAATCCTAGAAACAGCAAGAGAAAAGGAGACATTACCTACAAGGGAGTTCCCATCAGACTGTCAGCTGATTTCTCAAGAAACCTTACAGACAAGAAGGGGCTGGAAAGTATTCCAAGTCATGAAGGGCAAGGACCTACATCCGAGATGACTCTATCTAGCAAAAGTTTCATTTTGAGTGGAAGGGCAGATAAAGTGCTTCCCAGGTAAGGTCAAGTTAAAGGAGTTCATCATCATCAAGCCTGTATTATATGAAATATTAAAAGGACTTATTTAGCCCTGGCTGGCGTAGCTCAGTGGATTGAGCTCGGGCTGCGAACCAAAGCATCGCAGGTTCGATTCCCAGTCAGGCCACATGCCTGGGTTGCAGGCCACGGCCCCCAACAACTGCACATTGATGTTTCTCTCTCTCTCTCTCTTTCTCCCTCCCTTCCCTCTCTAAAAAATATAAGTAAATAAAATCTTTTTTAAAAAACCTTGTTAAAAAGGACTTATTTAAGTAAAAGAAGACAAAAACTATGAACATTAAAATGACAACAAACTCACAACTATCAACAACTGAATCTAAAAAACAAAAACAAACTAAGCAAACCACTAGAACAGGAACAGAATCACAGAAATGGAGATCACATGGAGGGTTATTGGTGGGGAGGGGTCAGGGGGAGAGAGGGGGAAAAGGTGCAGGGAATAAGAAGCATAATTGGTAGGTACAAAACAGACATGGGGAAGTTAAGAATAGTATGGGAAATGGAGAAGCGAAAGAAATTATATACATGGCCCGTGAACATGAACTAAGGGGGGGTGGAATGCTGGTGGGGGTGGTGCAGGGCAGAGCGGGTGAAAGGGGGAAAAACTGGAACTGGAATAGCATAATCAACAAAATATACTTTAAGAACAAACAACAACAAAAAAGGGATACCATTTGGAGTTGAAGGGCAGATGAAGAGCTTCCCAGACCACAAAACACTGGGCGGGGGGGTGAGGGTGTCATCATCACCAAACCGTTGTCATGTGAAAGGTCAAAGGGGCTGGTTTCAGGAAGGGAAGAGTCCAGACTGTGGACAACAGAATGGCAATTCATGCCCGTCTGCCGGTTGAGTCTGGAGAGCGGACTGGGGGGCAGGAAGAGCAGGGACAGCAGCTTGGCTGTGGGGAGCCTTTTGACGGACGCTGGATGGCGGGGTGGGGAGGTGGGGGATCAAGAAGTGCAGGCCGAGGGTTGCAGGGTGGCCCCGGGGTGTGCAGTGCAGTGTGGGAGGTGAAGGGGCTGGGGAACTTGTGTGCATGGCCCAGGGTGGCCCACGGACGTGAACGGTGGTGTGAGGACTGCCCAGGGGTGGCGGGGGTGGTGGCGGGGGTGGGGGTTGGATGCTGGGTGGAGGTGGGCCTGTGGGGAGGGTTGGGGCAGCTGTGATGGCATGGTCAGTGGAATGTAATTTTTTAAAAAATGCCTGGAGCCCTGGCTGGTGTAGCTCAGTGGATTGAGAGTGGCTGCGAACCAAAGTGTCGCAGGTTCGATTCCCAGTCAGGGTACATGCCTGGGTTGCAGGCCATGACCCCAGCAACTGCACATTGATGTCTCTCTCTCTCTCTCTCTCTTTCTCCCTCCTTTCCCTCTCTGAAATAAATAAATAAAAATCTTTAAAATACAAATTAAAAAAAAATGCCTGGCTGGCGTAGCTCAGTGGATTGAGTGCAGGCTGCGAACCAAAGTGTCGCAGGTTCGATTCCCAGTCAGGGTACATGCCTGGGTTGCAGGCCATGACCCCCAGCAACCACACATTGATGTTCCTCTCGCTCTCTTTATCCCTGCCTTCTCTCTCTAAAAATAAATAAATAAAATCTAAAAAAATGTTTACCATGCTCAACCTTAAAAGGTGGTAGTTAATACAAATTGTATTACATTTGAAAACAATTTCAGAGGTTGAGTTTCCTTATGTCAAAAGTAGGCCCCGGTCTTCCTAGAGGCTGGTCACTCCTAAATAAGATCCCCATAACCAAATAACATCTAAAACAAAAGTATAAAAATACTTTGAAAAATGCGTATCAGAAAACACCCCATGTATACTTAATGGGGAATGTGAGTGACTTTTCACGTTTTCTAGGATGTGCCCGGAACCTGTGTATCGGGAGAGCTTTGGGCAGGAAACAGGGAGAATCGCTTTACAGTGAAGGGAAACGTTCACTTAGCGAGAAGTCTGGAGCTAGGTGGTTCTCTGGCACGTGCATTCAGCGGCTCAGTGAAATCATCCAGGATCTGGGCTCTCGTCTGGTCGTGGATTATGGCTGTGCAGACAGACAGTCCTTGCTTTTAGGGGAGAGAAGCTAAAAGATCTGGGGTGAACTGTCTTCAACATCTGCAATGTGAATCAGCTAAAAAGGTACGTGTATGTAGCCCTGGCTGGTGTGGCTCATTGGACGGAGCACCGGCCTGCAAACCAAGGGGGTGGGGGCGTCGCTGGTTCCATTCCCGGTTGGGGCACGTGCCTGGGTTGCGGCTGGGTCACCAGCAGGGGGCGTGTGAGAGGCAACCACACACTGATGAGTCTCTCCCTCTCTGCCTTCCCCTTTCTAAAAATAAGCAAATAAAAATCTTTCTTAAAAAGTAAATAAATAAAATCTTTTTTAATGACGGTAAATATATGTAAAGAACGATTAAACAAATTGAGCGAATGTCAACAACTGGGAGTCGGGGTGAAGGTCACAGGGGTGTTCATTTGCTGTTCTTATCTTTATTTCCTGTTGGTTTAAATCTTTTAAAGAATAAAGTTGGAGGGTATAAGAGAGTAAGAAATGTATATGTGGTCTCTGACCCCAGTCAGTGACAGAGTCCCTAAAACCCTTATAATTTCATAAGCAACAGAGATGCTAAAAGCATCTTTGGTTCTAACATTGTGTCTGCGACCCCATTCCCCCGCACACAGAGCTCCTAAATCCCTTGACGTTTCCTGAGTGACAGGAGCATCTTTTGTTCCAGTGAGGGGACTCGGGGTGGGCTTCCGGAGGGCTTCAGATGGGGCTGGCCATCAGAAGGACCAGTGAGAAGCTTGGGACTTCCAGCCGCACCCCCCTCCTCTGGGGGAGGGGGAGGCTGGCGATGGTTAACTCAATCGACGTGAGCACAAGAGGGAGCCTCCAGAAAAGCCCCCAAAGCACAGGGTCGGGAGAGCTTCTGGATGGTGAGCCCATCTCCCTGCTCATTTGGGACGCTCCTAGACACCCCCACCTCACCCCGGGGGGTAGCTCTTTGTCTGGCTTCATCCATACCCTTCATCGCCTCCTTTATCACATAATAAACCGGCAAACATAAATGTTCCCGAGTTCTGTGAACCTTTACAGCAAATGACCCAACCTGAGAAGGGGGTCACGGGAACCTGCAATTTATAGCCCGCCGGTCAGAAGTACAGGGGACAACCTAAGCTTGCCACTGGCATTTGAAGCGGGGTGGGGGTGGGGGGGAGCCTTAACCTGCGGCTTCCGCACGAACTCCGGGCAGTGTCAGAAGTGAATTACGTTGTCGGACACCCAGTCGGTGTCTGCAGAGAACTGGAGGATCGCTTGCTGTAGAAAAGCAACACACACACACACACAATTGCTGTCAGAAGTACTCTGTGGGTGGAGGAAACAGTTCTCCCTTCTAGTTGGCGTCGGAGGGTGGGATGTGCTCAGACGGCCCTGGCTCACGGACACGTGCGGTTTGGGAAGGGAAAGGCAGAAGGGCGGGCACGAGGAAGCTTTGACTCCTGTGAAAGTGACCAACAGAATTCAGAGATGGCTCTAACTCTTGGGGGGGGCTGGTTTACTGGGCGCATAAGGAAATGCGAAAAAAGGCACAATATGTCATCCCTCTGTTGTGGTTATTGGTGACAGATAAAGTGAAGTCTGGAGAGTGGTGGGCGGCACCTTGATGCCAGGCCACGCTGAGATTTCAGTGAGTCTGAGCTTGGGTCACCAGCCTCAAAGCCGCCCCCAAAGGGGAAAATGACTCAGGGGCGACAGAAAGGGCCTCTAAGGTCTGTGGTCACCAGGAAAGGAGTCAACTCGGGGAGAAGGCAAACGAGGAGACACTGGAAGCAGGGGTGCGGGGTGAAGCTCTTTCGTTTTGTGGGCCAGTGGTGTCCGCGCCCTGAAACATCAACAGCTGGGAGTCCGAGGGAGGGTGTGTGTTGCACCACTCTTGCACTTTTTCTGTGGGTTTGAAACTTTTCTAAACTGAAAGTTGAGGAGGAAACAACTCCAGCAAGTTCTTCCCATCTCTTTTTTTTTTCTGCCCTGCAGTCACAAAGCTGGGAAATATGTTGGTCATACCTCGAGATCACAGAATGGCTGCAACAGCTCCTGCACGCAACGCCAAAAGAGCGAGTCCCTACTCCACGTCCTGCTTTAAACGTGAGGCCAACATTCCCGGGACCTCCCCTCCTGTTTTAGTGGTCAGGAGTGTATCACAAAACAACAAGGACAGACAAACACACACCAATAAAAAAATGAGCAAACAAAAAAAAAAGTGCACCGCAAGTCCGTGGCTCACCCGATCACGGGCTGGAGGCCATCCAGCCACCGTGACTGGCTTAGGTTCAAGCTTTAAATGATCAAGATTCACTTCCTGGGACTGGGGTGTCCACCAGCTCTGACTCCCATGCCCCCAAGTGCTCCCCTGAAGGAAATCAAGGCTCTGTCAGCAAGAAAGTTGGGGAGCAGCTTCTAGGTCCAGAGTAAGGCCAGGGGGGCAAGTACTGCCTCCCTCTGGGTGGGGGGGTGGGGGCGGGGGCACGAGAATCAGGCTGGCCAACAGCTGTGCCCTGTCTCCTTGGGCACAGGTTCTGAGACAGACGAGGACCCACGCCAGGCCAAGAAGTCTGCCTTGGGATGCTGGTCGGGGGAGAGGCACCCACTGTTTGGGACACGGTGGAGGGACACACCTGGAGGGCGCCGGGCCGCCTCAAAGGGGCAGCCCCGAACTCCCTCACGCCTCGGCCAGGCTGAGCCGCGTCCGTCCCAGCCCCAGGTCTCCGAGCACGCAATCTGCTGACTTCATGGTGCCACGATGAGACTCAGTCACGCGTGCCTCTCCCGGAGAAGACTCACACTGCAGAGAATTCCTCGGGATCTCCCAGACCCACCCCGCATTCTCCCAATGAGGACGTAGGCTGAGCATGAAGGGGTTTGTGCAAGCTCCAGGGACAAGTGACTCGGTGACAGCCAGGCCTGGAACAGCCACGGCATCTCCCCACAGGCTGCTCCGGGCTGCCCCAGGGCCCGCCCTCAGCTGAGCACGCCCTCTGCACCGGGTGCCTGAAAGGCAGTGATGCATGCCCAGCCTGGAAGGGTTCACCCAGCAGGGTGGTCACACGGCACCCAGTGTGAAAGACGTGCAAGGAGGGGTGCCGCAGGCTGGGGAACGCTCCCCCCACCTGCTCCCCTGCCTCTCTGGAGAAGGGGTGCAGCCCCCTGGAGTTAGCCAACACGAATTCAAGTCCTGCCTCAGGGGATCATGCTTTGTAGGTGTGCGCCCACCTGGGCCCACCTGTGTGAGAGTTTGCACTGCCTTTCCATCTTTACCCCCAAGTGCCTTCTTCCTGAAGTGGGGTGAGGGACACAGGCTGGGGGGGGGGTCTGAGCAGGGTTCTGACACCAGTCGCCACGTACGAAGGCTCAGTGAGGGACAACGTGTGGCCGGGTTAGAGAGTCGTGCAGACAGAACACCCGGGAACTGGGGTGGGTCTCTTCACGTAGGGGAAGGTGGTGGCGGCCCCTCTCCCACCGCGGCGGACAGACTGCAGCCCACGCAGGCAATCCCACTCGCACTTTATTCAGCACGGAGGACTAGTCACAACAAGGGGGAGGCGGCAGGGAGGCCCAGCCCCCACCCCCACCGGCACTGGCACACAATGATAAATAGGTAGCCGGGACGGGCACGGGGCGGGGGGGAAGTGGCACAGCCAACACTGATGGCACAGGCAGGGACACGGAGGCCCCCATGCCGAGCGGCTGCCGCCATCAACACTGGCCGGTACCAAGATCGGGGAGGGCAGGGCGCTTGGCTCCGGCGGCCCCAGAGCCATCGAGTGGCCCCGTGGACATGGTAGCGGTGGTGGAGGGCTGCCTTCAGTGCGTGGGCCTCACCTACGGACAGAAACCTGGACCCCGGCTCACCCCGTGCGGCCCGGGTTGTCAAGAGGTCACTGCCTCCCAGGCTTCTGTCCTACTCAGGATCTATGAGACCAGCAGGCCATCACCTGCTGTCCTGGCTGGTCTGCCCAGGATCTAGGACATGAAAGGGTCACTGTCACGCACGCGCCCAGGTGGTCCACTCAGAACCCAACATCAGTGAATCACTATGTCTTAGCCTTCTGATTGGTCCATTTGGGTCTCAGGACAACAGTGGTTTGTGGTTACCTAGACCTCTGATTGGCCAGCAGGAACCCAAGGCCAGGCCCGGGAGCAGGTAGCTCTCTAGAGGCCCGGGGGGGGGGGGGGGAGCGGGGGGGTGAGGGAGTTAAGGGCTCAGGGTTGGGGGAAATCTTCAGTGGGCATCAGGGCCCCGATTTCAACAAGGGGCCATCACAGGGCAGGACAAAAGGCCACCTTGGCTGGGTCAGGCCAGGGCAAACCAGTGGGGCAAGGGGGGGCAACTTCTGGCACAGCAAAGAGTGCTCCGCCACCCTGGGAAGGGATATAACGGCCCTGTAACCTTCCCTGGGTCCCAGCCCCAGCAGGGTGTAGGGACTGGGGCGGGAGAGCTGGTGGCACTCAAGCAGCTCCTGGTGGCCGTCACCTCCGCTACGGGATCAGGGTGGGGAGGGGCGGGGCTGCGGGTGCAGGTCAGGTGGCCTCAGTGCTCCAGCCCTTCCATTAAGTCCGCCACGCTCTCCACGTAGTAGTGCGGCACCAGGTCCTGCTGGCCGGCTGCCAGGTAGGCCTGGGCCTCCTCCAGGCGGGAGACCCCCGTGAGCGTGAGCACGGTGGTCATGCCACAGCGGTGGCCGAAGAGGATGTCGGTCTCCAGGCGGTCGCCCACCATGAGCATGCGGGCAGGGTCCACGCTGAAGTGTTCCGCGATGCACTCGAACATGTAAGGGCTGGGCTTGCCCACCACCAGGGCCTGGCGTCCTGAGGCTGTCTCCACCGCGGCCGCCAGGCTCCCGGTGCCTGCAAGGAGACGGACACTGGGTCAGAGCCTGGCGCACGGGGGCAAAAGGCCTGCTTCCGAATGTCACTGGACTGGTGAGGGGCCCAGACTGTGCCCCAGACACCCACATTCAGACTCCACCCCCACCTTTCTCCGGCAGGCCGTTTGACCCCTCTGTGTCTCAGTCTCCCCGCCCCTCATTTGGCGCTGATCTCCTCCTGGGGGCATCCTAAGGACGGAACGAGCCCCGGCCTGCACCGGGCCTGGCTCCAGTGGGTCCTGCCTGAGGCTCACTGTCCCCCCTGGCAGCTGTGTGCCTTCGGGCAAGCCGCCCCACCTGTCTGAGGTTCCTGGGACTCGCTGGCAAAGGACGATGCGAGTCACGCCTGCCTTTGAAGAGGCGCTGCGGGCACCACAGAGGCAAGGGCTCTGGGCCGGGAGAAGCGCTTCCCAATCGGCCCTGTGGTGACCGCTGCACGCACGTGCGCTCCTGGCACCGGGAACGGGCGCAGCCCACCGCGGGCACAGCAGGGCACAGGAGCGTTCGCGCCTCTGACCCGGTCGGCCTCCGCCGGGGCGGCGGTCACGAGAAGGGAATTCAGGCTGGAGACAAAAAAGCTACACGCGTGGAGGTGTCTGTGGCCCCAGGAGCTACAATACCCGAAATTGCGGGCCGTGCCCAAGCATTTAACAAGGGGAGGGCCGTTTGGCAAAGGACAGTTCTGACTCCTGACCATCTGCCCCACACAATGGGTCCACTGTGCCCGTCCCCCAGACACCTCTTTGTGCCAGAATGTTCTGCCTTCACAGTCATGTCCCTGAACAAATGATGATGATGGTGATGGTGATGACAACGATAATTCACTAAGCACATTCTGAAGTGCCAGGGGCTGTGCTGGGTGCCCACGGAAGCCCATTTTATAGATGAGAAAGCTGACGCTCAGTGATGTTAAGTAGCTTGTCCAGGGCTGCACAGCTTAAAAAGTGGCAGATACACGGCATTCAGGTGGGTGTGACCCACGCGTGTGCTGCGCCAGCCTGTGCTGGTTGGGGAGTGCTGAGCGTTTCGTTTTTTGGGAATTCTGTGAGCTGGTGGCGAAACAAAGCCACTATTTAAAGTCCATTTACATAAACTTACAATCAAATGAATAATGTTCAAAACAAAGGTGACACATTCTCAAAACGGATCACTTCCTAGAGATTTTACCGCTGTCTACACTCTTAAAAGGTGATTTCTAGCTGAGCCAGTGGACATACTATGGTGGCAGGCGCACATCTGCCCCAATCCATGTGCAGAGACTTCACAATGGTGGCTTAAAACCCTGCCACAGTGGCGGGTATTTACACACAGACCCTGGCAAATGATACGAATCAGGGCTCTCCGAATCGCTACACGTGTGTCAGCACACCGCTGGTTGGACCCCGGGTGCTCTGGCCTCGTGTCTCCCTTCTCACAGCACAGTTGAGACAAAGGGGGCTCAGGGGGGTGAAGTGGCCCCCGACACGGAGGAGGGGCCTCCCCCGGGTCCCGGGACCAGGGCAGAGCTGGCTCGGAGCAACACCACCGGGAGGTTCTCCCCGACATCTGACTGAGAACTCGCCCGCTTGTTTTCATAAGACCTGAGGGGGAAAGAAAAGCCATTTGACCCTTTGGTGAGAGAGCCCCTCGAGGTTTCGAAGGGCTCAACTGAGTCACCCCAGAGTGTTTCTCTGGGCTGAAGCCAGTTCTCAGCTGTCAGCTGCTTCCTTCCCCTACCCCCCCCGCCCCCCCGGGAAACAGCTGACCACCCCTGGTCCCCATGTCCAGCTACTATTTACTGAGGCCCAGCGGGACACCAGGCACTGCTAGGCCCTGGGACAGAGCAGCGAGCACAACAAAGAGCCCTCTCCTTGGGGGAGCGCGCTTCCCAACTGGGGAGTCTATGAACTCCCGCTCTCAGACCACCACGACCCCCTGCTCTCAACATCCTATAGCCTGAGACTGTTGCATGTTCTGACGGTGGCATATACACCTAAGACGACAGGCATTTCCATTTGCCAGCTCAAGTGGCTGCCATATGGTTACAAAGTAAACACAATTTAGGAGGCCTGCAGGGGGAGGGGGAACTGGGGTGAGAGATTTGCATGATTTCAGATTTGATGCATAATGGAGGTCTTTCTTAGCACTTGCACGGCCCTGTCTCAAAGCTGCACCACTCAGGGTGCGAGCACGACAGCAGCTCCGCGTTTCTGTATTTGCTGAACCTCTGCCTCCCCCTCCAGGCTGTGGGAATGACCAGCAGGGCCGCAGGCACAGCCCAGTGGGTGCTGAGGTGGAAGGGGCAGGCGTGGGAAGGGCCTGGTCTCTCCCTGGCTCTTTCACACCACTGCTCCTCGGTCCTGGGGGCCTCTCACCCACTGCCTCCACCTGAATTCTGAGGCCTCCAGGGAGACACTCACTTTTCACAGCACGGCCCAGGGAGGCAGGAGCTGCCGCAGCTGGGGGAGTCCCCACCTTGGGTTTATGGGAAAACTGAGGCGGAAGTGGTCATGCAGCAAGCAGGGGTGCAACAAAGCTGGGACAGGCCTAAAACTATAGATTCCCAGACTGGAACTGGTTCTGCCACGGCCCAAGCCCTGCTCCAGGTTCACCCCCTGTTCTGCAAGATGTCTCCTCCAGGAAGCCTTCCCAGATCCCCTAAACTCTAGGCCCTCCCTGCCACCGCACCCTAATACTGTGTCTAATCCTCAAAGAGCACCGCCCTGCCCCACCAGGATTTGGTATTAACGACTGTCTGGGTCAGTCACCAGCAAGGATGGAGTGACGGGACATCTGTCCCTGCCCTCAGCCTGCCGACTGCAGTACTAACACGTCCACACACACTCATTACCGTCAGCCTCTGCTACCGTCTGCTCTCGTCTGACTTGAACCCTCCAAGACGTAGCAGCCTCCACCTGTTCCTGCTCCCTCTGCAGGGCTGACCACCCAGAAGACAGCAGCGAAGAGTGCCTTGGATGGAGGAGGTCAGGCCTGGGTGGCCACAAGATGCCAGTTCAGGTCCCTGTACTCTTGGGCAGCTCACTTCCGCTCTCTCAGCCTCGGTTCCTTTAACTGAGAAATGGGGCAAGAACCCCCATTTCCAGAGTAATTTGGAAACTAATTAAGAACAGATACCAAGTGTAACACGACAGGGTTCTGGATACAGCCCATGCCATTGGAGCCCCTAAGCACACATACCAGTCTCCACACTGATGACACTGGCATGCCAGCATTCCCATTTTTACAGCCAGTGCACAGATGCTCTGAGGTTATGTAACGTAACAAGATTACGGAGCGCTGGAGCTGCAAATGGACTCAGGGCAAACTCCAACCACCTCCTGTGCTCTAGCACACCTGCCTACAGCCTGCCGAGTGGTATTCCAACTCTCCAACAGGAAAGAGCCCCTTCCAGGCTTTGTTCCCAAATCTCCGACGTCACCCCAACAGCGAGAGAGACAAAAAGACAGGAGTCCTTGAGGCGGGTTCAGGAAGGTTAGGGCTGGGAGTCGGGAGGCCTGGATTCCGCCTGCGATCCCAAAGGGTCACCATGGGCCTCGGTTTCCTCTTCTGTCCATTGGGGACACCAGTGCTGCCCCTCACCGTGAGTCGGCTGCAAGAATGACAAGACCTTGACACAAAAGCACCCTGCGCTTTTGCTGGGTGGTAGACGCGCTAGCAACCCTCCTGTTCCCTGTCACCTGGAGACGCCCCTTTCCCGACCCTCACCTCCAGGTCACCCCTCGCCACCTCGCTTTCCTGGCCACCCCCGCGCTCACCAGGGGTCCGGCTGCCGTCGGTGAGAGGGTGCCACGGGTCGCGGTCGGTGGCCACCAGCAGGCAGTCAGGGTTCCGCAGGTGCGCGCACGCCTCGCTCAGTTTGGAGAAGGAAAAGTGCTCGTCGTAGCCCACGAGCACGGCACGCACGCGCGGGGCCGCGCCTGGGTCTTCGCTGGGGTCCCCAGCCAAGCGCAGCCCAGCGGCGCGCAGCTCGGCGCGTAGCCCCTCGCCGCCCAGCACGAACACTGAGCCCGGCGCGTCCGGCGGCCCGGGCAGGCGCTGGCGTAGCAAGCGCGCGGCGCACACCGCGGAGCTGAAGACTTGTTCGGCGCGCAGCCCCCCAAAGCCGAGGCGCGCGAAGCGGAGAGCCAGCTCCGGCCGCGCGCGCCTGCTGTTGTTGCTCACGAACAACGCCGCCTTGCCGGCACGCGCCAGCCGCTCCACCAGCTCCGGGGCTCCCGGCACAGCGCTCTCGCCGTTCCACAGCACCCCGTCGCAGTCAAACAGGACCCCCTGCGCCCGGCCCAGCACGTCGCGCAGGGCCGCGCCGCGTAGCAGCTCGCAGCGCGCCATGCAGCCAGCTGGCTGCCCGCACGCCCGCGCCGCGCCGCTTCCTCGCCGCGGGCACGGTGCGCTCGCCCGCAACCCACTGGTGCCCCGCACCTACCAATCGATGCGCTGAAAGGGCCTGGGGGCGGGGTTACGACCTGGCCTGCGGCCAATAGAGGCGAAAACCTTGGGAAGGAGGGAGGCTGCGAGCAAATTGAGCTTGAAGAAAAGGGTGGAATAGCGGTTGGCACTAAGGGGAGAAGACCAATGAAGATCCCGCTTGATCATTCGCCCCGCCTCCCGGCTCTGCTAGGCCAATCGCCGCTGAGTTTTAACTCCGATAACCCTCTAACAGGGGTGGGAGCCTGGGAGACTGACGCTCTTCTTGACCAATAACGAGTTACGAGAAAAAAAACTGTGGCGAGCTGAGCCTCCCTGCGCCCCTAGCCAATCAGAAGCTTAGGATAGCTGGTTGCTGAGAAGAAAACAGCTGCTAACGGAGATGTCTTTGGGTCAAATCTCCCTGCCCTCTGAACGTTGGACGCTCCAGGTGTGAGCGAAGTCCCGAGAAGCCTGTGGATATGATGAGGAGAGAGGCGCATGCTCTCTTCCTGAGCGCTGGGGCCCGTGGCCTACACCAGTGGTTTTCCATGCTCGCTGCACTGTAGAGCCCCCGGAACACTCATTATTTTTAGATATAGAATTTACATGCAGTAAGAAGTATACAGCTAAGTGTAGTTTGATGACTTTTGACAAATGGTTTTCAAAATACCAATGCGTGGTAGGACCCCAGAGATTCTGCTTTGTTTTGGGTGTAGCCTGGCATTTTTGGGTGTCTTTGTCTATAATGACGAAGGATTCTACTGTGAGGCCAAAGTGGACAGGCACTGGGCTAGAGGCAGCCTTGTCACCAAGCACCCCAGGGAGGGAAGGAGCCAGAGCATCAGTGGCCAGTTGCCCAGGACAGTGAGGGGTGACCCTGCTGCCTAGGCTCCCTCTTGGAGAGAGATGTGTCACCGTCCTGAGGCTGCCTGCCAACCTCCAAGAAGGCTCCCAAGACCTGTGAGACTTCCAGGAGCACCTGGAGCTCCAGAGCATCCCGTAACCCAGGCTTTAAGCGGAGGTACTTTCTCTTTCCCAATGTCCTGGCCTTTCCACTGGTGCGTAGGTGGTTCCTGTGGCTTGGAATGTTCTTCCTTCTTCCCCTTTTCACCTCGCCAGTTCCTGAAAGAGTCCCCTCAGATATCACCTCTTCCAGGAAGCTCTCCTTGATCTCTACCCTTCAGACACACACCACCAGTCTGGGTTAGATGGTTCTACCCTAACTGGGCCCATATGAGCTCCCAGTAGTCTTGACACTTAATTCCAGAGATCAGTTCCGCCTGCCTGTTCCCAGGAGCAACTTGGGTGTAGGGCTGTGTCGGGGACCTAGCCCAGGGTCTGGCAGGGCAGCCTCAGGGATGGTTTGCAGACAGGTCCACCCTTGCTCCTGGGGAGCAGACTGGGGGACCCGGCATCAGGGGCAGCCATCACTTATGGGGGACTTTTGTGTGCAAGGACGGTGCCTGGTCTTTACAGGAGTCTCCTTTAATCAGAACATTTCTGCAGTGGAAGTTGTTACCCGGCTTCCCGGATGAGGAGACCAGAATACCGAGAACTGAAGTTTATTGCCCGGGATGAGGCCCAGGCCCAGGCCCCGGAAGCAGTCAGACCTAGGCCCTACTCCCAGGTCCACGCCTCACCCACCGTGCGACCTTGGCAGGTCATGTTCTCAGCTTCCATCCGCTCACCTGTAAGAGGTCATGGGATTCCCTCCCCAGGGACAGGATCACATGGAAATCTTAAGCAGAACAGCACAGTGTGTGGCCTAGAGTAGGTGCTTAAAAACGTCGGCTGTTATCATTTCAGACAGGAAGAAGGAAAAGAGGCAGAGAACAGGCAATTTCCCCCCTTTATTTTGAGTACAGAAAATAAAGCTATCTTTTGGGCTGCTGCTCCAGTTTTGTCCAAAATAATTTACCTGCCTTGCAAAAAAATACGTTGGCAAGAGAAAAACCAAAGTCCTGTAGGAGCAGGCATGCTCTCCTTCCTTCTGGCGGCTCCCCGGGACCTCGCCAGAGAGCGCAGTGTCGGCCGAGCACCCCAAGCCTAGGGTGTACCCAAGAGGAAAAGGACCGGAAGTGGAGAACTGGCCTGAGTCCTCCTTGCCGTGGGGGCCGACCCAGCGGGCACCAAGGCACTTGGAGGTGAAGGCTGTGGGCAAGGGGGTGAGGGCTATGTCCTGGGAGGACCAGGGGGAGGGAGGGGACACCGAGGGCTGTCAGGGAGGAGCCCCCAGCTCAGTTGGTCTCCGAGGCAATGTTCCTGGGCTGAGGCTGAGGGGGCACAGCTGCGGGAGTGGGGGTCCTGCCTGCAGCCTCAGGGGCCCCTCCATCCTCTGTGGCCACCCCCAGGTCCACCTGCTCAGGCGTGCTCAGAGAGACGGGGCTGCAGGAGGCTGGGCCTGGGGAAGTGTGGCTGGGGGAGGCTGGTGAGCGCAGGCTCTGGCGTCGGGCAGGCTGAGGGGGCATCGGGGGCAATGGGGGTGGCACTGTGGGGGCCCGGAGGTTGCTGCCAACCAGACGGCGGGGCAGAGCTCGGGGAGCTACAGGGCTGCCAGGGCCAGGGGGTGGAGGTGGGGCCGGAGACGAGGAGCGGGTGCCGGAGACCTGGGGGGGTGGCATGGTGGGTCGGGCTGGTGCCGGGCGTTTGGCTGCAGAGGAAGGAAAGGGGCAGTCAAGTGTCCATACAGCCTGTGGCGAGGCCATCACGCTCGGTCCCACCTCAGGACCTTTGCACCTGCGGTTCCTTCTGCTGGAACACAGTTCCCACGGCTGGTCCTCATCTCCCAGGCCTCGCTGCATTATTTTGCTTGTCTCCCCCAATAGAACGTGCACTATGTGTGGCTACCGTATGTGCGGCTGGCTAGCACAGGGCTGGGCCTGGAGTAGATGTTCAGCACACTCCTGTCAAACAAAGCAATGCCACCCATCCTCCCTGACGCTCGGGTCTTGCTCACCTCCCATCAGAAGCCCACCAGAACTACCCAACCCAGACTCAGAGATGCGGCTGCACAACTCTGATGCCCAGAGGCAGTGGAAGGGTTGGGTGGAGCAGGAGGTCTGGACTTGGGCCCTAGCTCTGCCTGCACCCCCTGGGGGATCTGCGCAAACCACTTGCCCCCTGGGGCCTCCATCTCGTCTTGTCGTAAGATGGGACAAACCTCCCAGGGCTGAGGTGAGGACCAGCGCAGGTGACCCTGTGACAGTCCTTCGAACTGTGCTCAAGTGAGCAAACGTCTCACTCGCCCTGCAGCCAGGAGAGGTGACTAGATGCCCCACCTCCTTCAGGAAGGTTCCTGAGCAAGCCGCCAGCTCCTGATGGTCTGGAGGTGCCTGCGGCTGCTCCATCTACTCCAGGCTCTACTCTGTACACTCGGGTGGAAAATTCTAGAGCCTCCTGGGCTGGGTGGAGCCTCCCAAGGCTCCTGGTTACTCCGGCAGACTGCACCTGAACCCTCGGCCTTCCATCTACCTGGCTTTCAGGCAGCTCAACAGGTGAGGGCTCCAAAGGGGCCCCGGCCCCCAGCACCACCGCCGCCCCTCCCTCAGTGCCCTTTGAAGACCTTGTCCTCCCTCTTCACTCTGGGACCTCCGGGCTTCTTGAGGAACTCAGCCCCGCTGCCTGCCACGCTCAGTCACACTGGCCGACCCTTACAAGGCGGCCTGAGCCAGGCAGCAGCGTCTGATCCTCTGAACAGCCCTACAAGGCAGGCGTACTTATTGTCCACAGAGGGGGAAGCTGAGGCAAGCAGGTGAAGTCACCAGCCCAAGGTCACACAGCTGGGGTGTGCAGGCCGCAGCCCCGGCTCCCGGCTAAACACACAGGATGGTCTGGACTGCCCCCCCTGCCTCCCCCTGCACGCCCCGCCCCCGTCCTCCCACAGCCAGCTCACTCTTCCGAGCCGTGTCCTCTGCTGGGGCGGCTGCCTCTGTGGGGTTCCTGCTGACCTTGGGGGAGGCCGGTATGGGGGGCCCCTCGGCCTCTGTCCTGTGCGGGAAGGAGAGGGTCAGGCTTGGCCACCTCCCAGACATCTTCTGGAATCTTCGGGAGACTCCCAGCAACAGGCTGAGTCTGGGTCACCCACCTTGTGGCCGGGCCTGGGATCTGTCCCCCAGGCTACCCCCCCTTTCTGACATAGGTTAGGGCTTGCATCCACAGAGCGCCTGGCGGCTCTGTGATGCTGGGACAGTGTCCGTGGTCTCTGCTGGGGCCAGGGTGCCGGACAGGAAGTGGAGCCTCCCCCGCCCCAACTCTCAGCCTCCTTGTGATCTTTACAGGATGTTCCGGCCACCAGCACCAGAGAGTGGATGAGGAACAGAGGGGCTGCCCTGGCCAGCTAGCTGAGCTAGTTAGAGCATCATCCCAATACACCAAGGTCGTGGGTTCGATCCCTGGTTAGGGCACATACAAGAGACAACCAGCGAATGCATGAGTGAGTGGAACAAAAAATGAATTCCTCTCACTCTCTCATCAACACATTTTTTAAAAAAGGAAGCAGCAGCTGCAGAGTGGGAGGCTTCCGACTTCCTCCAGGTCTCTGTTCGGGTGGCTCCTCCTCAGAGGGCCTTTCCTGACCCCAAGGCTGAGGCTGCGCCCCCTCGGTCCGCTCCCCGGCTCTGCCCTCCCTCACAGCTTGCACCCCCGCCTGGCGCGGTGGTGACTGATCTCTGGTGGGCTTGTCGGCCCTCTCCGCCCGCCCTGGACACAGGCTCGAGGGCAGCGTTCGTCTGTCTCGCTCATCTGAGGAAGCCCGTGGTCTGGGCCCCGCAGCCTGATGAGCGAGTGGCACTGGGGCCGTGGGGAGGCAGCACAGCACACGCAGCCGCGCCCCAGTTCAGGGATCCCAGAGACCCTGGGAGGGGCTCCCTAGCTCCCTGCGCACTCAGAACCTGCGATGGTCCGTGCTCAGTACGCAGCCACACGAGGGAAGAGGAAACGCACCAGAGGCTGAGGGCTGTCCCCTCAGAGCCCCCACCCCGCCCGCTGCCAACTGGGAAACCTGGCCTTTGGGGTGAAAATGCAGTCCTTCCACTCCCCGACGTGCTGTTGGAAGCCCTGAGAGACGGTGCCTCGAGCCGGGCATCGTGGGGTCCGGACAGGGGGCCGTTCTTACCCCTGGGTCCTTACCTTTCCTTGGTAGCTGCTGAGGCCGGGGCAGGAGCAGGGGCCGGAGCTGGGGCCGGGGCCGGTGTGGCCGTGGCCAGAAGCTCCTCAGAGGCCGGCCTGTCGCCGACCTTGTCCTGGGGTGCCAGGGCGGAGAACAGGCCCGACACGTTGAAGTTGACCTCTGCGGACGGAAGGAAGGGAGCAGGCCTTGCTTTCGGGCTCCGCCGGCCTCCCCGCAGGGTGGGCCAGCGCCAGCACCGCTCTTCCTCTTCCCCAACACTGTCCGGGCCGCGTTTCGCCTCCCCACCCCCACAGGAGCCTCACAGCAACCCCACGATGCAGACAGGAGCACCCCCGTTTTACAGAGGGGACACGGAGGCTCAAAGTGGAGAAGCCATTTCCTCCGGGCCTCGTGGGGAGGGCACGGGGCTGCCAGGGACTGAGGCTGGTCTGGAGGGCACCGGGTCTGGGACAGGGGCATGAAGCGGGAGGGCGCGCGCACGCAGGCAGGAGCCTCACCTCCGGGGAAGAGGGTGTCTGCGCTCTGTATCAGAGCCTCCACCACGCCCACCACCTGGATGGACGACACCGAGGCCGCATCCAGCTGCGCCTGGTCGCTGGGACAGAAGGCAGTGGACACGAGTCACCACCGAGCAAAGTCTCAGTGGCCCCAACTCTCCCTGGCCCCGCGCTGGCCACTGGGGACACAGGGACCAGTCAATCACACCACGTCCCTGTTCTCAAAAGCTCACAGGCACTGTGGATGGCAAACACGCCGCTCTCACACCGAATTTCTTCCTCCCTTCGCACACGACAGGCGTCACCCGCAGGTCATGGCGCCTTTCCTCCCAGGCCTGGACCCAGGCAGCCTCTACCGGGCACCTGCACTCAGAGAACGGCCGGCATCCTCTGGCCGTACGTGGCCAGGGAGCGGGCGTGACCCCTCGCACAGGACAGCACTTTGCCGTTTTAAAGCCTTCTTGCCTGTCCATTCTCTCGCTTAATTCCCAAAGCAAAAGTCCTCGGACTCTGTGTGATTTCTAACTTGCAGAGGAGGAAACGGGGGTGGAGAGAGTGACTTCCTCAGGCCCATGGCTGGGAGGCGCAGGAGGGGCTAGAACCAGACCTCGGGCTCCCAGCCTTCCGAGCACCCCGAGAGCACCCCGTTACCCAGAATGCCATCTCTAAAGCCCTGTGGGGTCCATGGTCCCTTCAGGCTGCCCTTCATGGCAGCCTCGAGAACAGGGGCTGCTGACCACCCGAGGCTGAGGAAAGCGAGGCCCGGGGGGAAGATGGAGAGCAGACAGCTGGGCCGGGGGCTGCCTCCTTCCGCTCACCCCTCTTTCTCAGGGGGCCACAGCAGGTTGGGCCCCAGGACGATGGCGATGTTGCTGGGCGTCATCTTGTTCACCTCCTGCTCCTCGGCCAGGCGTGCCAGGAACTTCATCAGGTACCTGGGGAGGCGGGAGCGGGGCTTGGGCCAAGGGCGGGGCCATCGGGCCACAGATGTGTACCCACGCCCCTGAGACCCAAGGCTTTCCTGGCTGGGGGTTTCCAAAAGGTGGCGGAGACAGCACACAGGCTGGCTGAAGATTTGTCATAGTGAAATAGCTGACCTACTGAGTGCCATCTACGTGTCAGGCATGGAGCTAAGTTGAGACTCTCCCAGCACCCCGTGGGGCAGGTGTGGTTATGTTCCGAATCGTCTAGCCAAGGTACAGAGAGGTCAGTTCGCCTGTTCAGGGCCACACAGAGGCACAGGTGGGGTGTGAAGCCGGGTGGTGTGGCTTCAGAGGTTCAAGGTATGTATCGAGTTCAATGTCCAGCGTTAAAAAACAGGAGCAGGACAGTGCTCGCTTCTAGTGCAGCACACACACTAAAGCGGAAGTAATGCAGGAGTTTGCACGGCGGCGTGGCCTCTGCATAGAGATGACGTGCCAATTCGTGAAGCATTCCGTATTTAAGATAAAAATAATAAGTAAAAAAATGACTAGTCCACCTGCGTTCTGTTTTTAGAAATATTGCTTAGGGCAAGGGGGCAGGACCCAGACCCCAGAGTCCTGGCAGGGCCTGGCTTCCAGGAGCCCGGGGCCCAGCGTGGGGCTCACCTGAGGTTGTTGAAGTTCTGTGGGGGCAGGCGGCTGCACAGCTCCTGGAGGGCCTCCAGCCGGGCTCCGGGCTCCTTCAAGCTGGGGACGGGGACAGACCTGGTGAGCCAGCCCGGGGCGGCACCTCTGCAGCCTCCTCTTGGCCGGGACCCCCCACCTCCAACCTCACCTGGCTGCCCTCATCCAATCGTCATAGAGGTCAAAGGTCATCAGGGGCTCCGGCAGCTCCCGCAGATAGGACTTGAGGGCACCTGAGGTGGTGGTGTGAGCTCAGACGCAGCCTGAGCCTCCACCTTCGCCCCAGCACCCAGTTCTCTCCATCTGCCAGGAGCCTCTGGCCCTTGTTCACACTAACGTGTCTAGGTCTATCATTCCTGGGCCATGGGCCCGTCAGAGAAAATCATGAAGGCCAGAGATTTTGTTCTCAGAAAAGCGTACACATATGTCATGCCAGGGGGTTCGTCACAAACCCCACTCTATGGGCCCCTGTGTCCCCTCAGCAGATTATCAGCCTTAAACCCAACCCGTGGCATCATTTCAGGCAGTGGAGGTGCAGAGATTTGGGGGGTGGCCCCCCACCCTGGGGTCCTGGGAGCAGGTACCTGCCACGGCGTGGGGGTCAGAGCAGAACTCCTGCAGGCTGCTCGGGTCCGAGGCCATCGTCTGCTTGAGGCGCTTCAGCACCGAGGCCCCGGCGGCGAGGCGGAAGAGGCCCTGGGGTGCGAGAGGGACCAGGTGGGGTCACGGAGGGGTGGGTGGGACAGGACACCCTAGCCGGAAGGCCCTGCCTCACTCATGGCTTGGGGCAGGCGGCTGGCCCTCCCTGGCCCATGTCCCCACCGGTCCGGCAGGTAGAGGGGACACCAGTGTCCATGGGTCCTCTCAGCTCATAGGCTTTTGGATGTGGAGCAAAGGAGGATGTCTGGGAAGGGCTGAGAAAAGTCACGGGGAGACACGTGGGTGAGCAGTGGGAGGGGGACCCCGCAGGACCCTGGAGGGACCTCAGTCTTTGGGCAGTTCTGCCTCCTGAGGGTCTGTGCTGGGGCAGGAGCCGATGGACCGGCAATGCTGAGGCTCGAAGGGCCAATGAGGGCAGCCTGCATCAGAGGCTGCACCCAGGTCCCCGGCTCCGCCGCCACCCTCTCCTGTGCCACTGGGCACATCTGCCTCTTGGTCACCATCTCCCCTTGTCACACGGAGCCACTGAGGGCTCCCTCCCAGGGTTCCTGGGATAACTAAGTCCCTCAGTGCGCAGGGTCTACAGCATAGCGTCCGCCTGGCCCACGGGAGCATCACTAAGTGGGAGGTGTTAACGCTTCAGCAACGGGAGGCCACGCCTCCTCCCGGGACTTGTGCTCTGAGGGTGGGTCGGACTGCGGGCACAGCCTGGGCAGCGTGGGGGAGGTCTGGGATAGGCTGAGGGCCCGATGCTCCCTCCCCACCTGCCCCAGAGGGTCTCACCTCCTCCTTCACGCCCTCAGAAAGCAGCATCAGGACGCAGGCCTCGATGGGCAGGGCGATGTCCCGGCCCAGCTCCTGCAGGTGAACTCTCAGTGACACCCCATACACCCTGGAGAAGGGGGCGGCCATCATCGAGGGGGAGGGGTCTGCAGGGACGAGACAGATCAGCGGCCCAGGGTCCCCCCACCCACGAGCAGCCAGGGGCTCCCCCCAGACATCCTCAAGGGACTACTGCTTTGGCCAATGGTACTACCTCCCACCCAGCCATCCAGCCTCGCACCCTGAGGTCATCCACGCATCTCTCGAATCTGCCCGCTTCCCCTGCTTCCACCCGCCGTTCAGGCCACCATTACCTCCCTTCTGCCTCCTAACAGGTCTCCTGGCTCCAGTCCTGGCACCCTGCCCCCAGCCCTTCGGTCCTCCATGCAGCAGCCAGAGCAAACTCTGCACCACAGATCTCATCGACCCTCCCCCGGCGCAGAACCCATCTGGGGCTGCCCACTGCCTTTCAGGGTGGAGTGCAAGCTCTGCGTGAGCCTCAGCACGTGGGGGTCTGGAGTGCGGGACCGGGGCCCCCCGTGTCCCCACCTGTTTGGCTGTGGTTCTCCCTCAGCTCGGCCAGGACGGCATCCAGAGAGCTCAGAGACTTGCGATGGTAATCGGCCTGAATCTCCATGAGCTGAGGGGACAAGAGTGCGCCCCCGGGGAAAGTGAGGGAAGCTGGCCTCCCTCAGGGTCCGCAAGAGCAGACCCCTCCCTCCCTCGCTCCCTCGCTCCCTCCCTCTCAGAGAGACCCTCTGGCTCTGGTGTTGAGCCCGGCACGCTGGGGGGCTGCAGCCCAGTCTTGGACTCACGTTTATGAAGTAGTTGGCATAGGTGTCCTCCTTGGTGGCAAAGTGGTACAGGTCGGCCAAATACTCATCCTTGGGGACCGAGAGGAGGGGGGCTTGTATCAGCGAGGCCAGGGCCCAGAGGGGTTACGACTTGCCCAAGTTGTACGTGAGGGGTCCCGGCCTGCTCTCTTCTCTCTGCTGAGGTTTGCGGTTGGGGACCTCCCACAGAAAACTCCTTGAACTCCTGAGGGGCTTTTCCAGCTTCTAGTCCTCACCTCCGTGTCCCCATAACCATTCATTCATTCATCCGTCCGTCCACCTTTCATTCACTCACTCAGCAAACAGGCCAGGGCCCCGGTGAACCCAGCTCTGCCGCTTCCTACCTACGTGGCCCTGAGCAGGGGACACCACCTCTGTGAGCGGCAGTTTCCTTGTCTGTGAAATGACAGCTTCCCCCTCCACCACCCCCACACATCCCGGCAACCCCAAGTGCCTCCTCACCTTGCACTGCTCCACCTTCCTCTTCAGCTCCTCCTCCTCCTCCTTCAGCGTCTCCACCTTGTTGGCCGTGGCTGTGTGGCTGTAACCGCCTGGGCCGCCGCCCCCGCCCTGACCGCTGCCTGAGTTCTTAGCTGCCTGGCTGAGCCTGGGGACGAACCCAAGGTAGGGGGGTCACTGTCCCCATTCATGCCCAAAGTTAGGTGTCCCCTCCATATGCCTGACCACACAGGATTGTGGGAATTACAGATGCAAATCCCTGACCACAGGGGATTCTGGGATTCATAGATGCAGATCCCAGAGCTCCGCTGTGGCCTGGGCCAAGAGTGCTTGGAACGCCACCTGGTGGTAGGCTTGGAAGTCACAACCACCCAACTGCAGGGTAGAGGGTGGGAGGACTTTTCAGGGCTATCTTAGGCTTTCGGGTCACCCCCAGCTGGCATAAGCACATGCACACACATGCACTCACATGTACAGAGGGACCGTCACGTGTACCCTCACCACGTGTTCCTAAGGACCAGACGTGTGCACAGGCACACACTCTGTGCCCAGTGTCCTCCCAGTGTGGGAAGGGCCTCGAAGCTGTCTGGCCCCCTCTGTGGGCTGACCCAGGCACGGACCCCACTCACACGCTGTGGTTCCCACCTGCTCTTGAGGGCATTCCAGTCGGACACCAGCTTCTGCAAGCTTTTCTTGTGCTTGAGGATGGCTGGCAGCTCCTCCTAGGCACAGGCAAGGGGAGGGAGGGGGTGAGCGGGCTAGGGTAGTGGGAGCTGGGGACCAGGGAAGCCGGGGACAGCAGGTGGGGTCACCTCACTCAGCCTGTTGAGAGGCTGCAGGACGTCCTTCTCCAAGTTCATCTCAAACTCGGCCAGGATGCGGGCCAGCTGGTTCTGAATGACACAGCTCATCTCCAGGGCCTTCCTGTGGACACAGCACCGTGGGCCCAGCTCCTACAGTCCCTCACCCCCATCTGGAGAGGCTGGGTGGGGCTGCCCCCCTCCCCATCATCTCCTGCCCCTTCTATGGCTCCTTCATCCTCGCTGAGCCCCACGTCCTCCCAGGCCTGCCTGTCCTCACTGACCAGGTCACTGTCCCCAGCCCAGACACTCTCCCTAGCCTGGTCACCCTTCCACTGGGGCTGCCCTCCCTGCCCCAGACCCCCTTCCGGTTCAGAGCCCTCCTTGGCCTGTCCAGGGGAAGGCTGAGGCCCCGTCCGTGCTCACCCCATGCTGGAATCAGGGTCCAGCTCCTTGAAGCTCTCGGCCATTGCGGTGGACAGGGCCATGAGGGGAAGCTTCTTCTGCAGGGCAGGGCAGGGCAGGGCCGGCTGTGAGCGTGAGCGCCTGACCTCGCCTGCGGGCCTCCCCTCACCCGCTCACACTCACGGCGTGTCCCTCGGGGGCGGGACCCCACGGAGGCCCTGGGCGTGGACAGGGGAGGAGGGAACCCAGGAGGGCCACCGCCACAGACGACAGTGGAAGCAGGACGGTGACAAGGCACGGCGGGGGTGACGCTGCCTGGGACCATGTAAAGAGCTCCTGTCCCCCTGGGGCCCCCTTTCCCATTCCCAGAAGCCACTTGACCTCGGGGGGGAAGGAATGACCAAAGGCCATCACAACCCGGAAAACTAACAGCAGGAGGCCCGGAGTTTGCCAGGGTCACACAGTTGGGAGGCAAACGGAAGAGCTGGGAAGAGGCCTAGAAGCGGGCCCCCACCCCCGCCTCAGGGCTTGTGTGGCTGATACAGCCACGGGGAAGCTCAAAACCTCCGTGACCGCTGCTGCTCCCTCTCTCCCCCCGGAGCTCCGGCCACACTGAATTACTGACTGATTCCAAACCCGAGTCCCACCTAGAGAGCACCAGGTTTGGTCAGATGGATCAGGGTTCAAATCTCAGTTCTGCCACTGATTGGCTTGCATGACCCCGAGTGAGTCACTTTACCTCTGTGAGGCTCCGTTTCCTCATCGGTACCAGTGCTAATAAAGGCAACCTCCTCCTAGCACTGCTGTCAGCACGGAGTGAGGCAATGCACTGACACATCTTAGCAACAGACTAACAATGCATAAACCCTGCCTGTTGATTAAGGCCGGTGAGTGTCACCAGAAATCCAGCTCCCACGTCACTTCCTTTCAGAAGCCCTCAGACTGCCTAGTGGAGAGGGCCTGCTCCATTCTGACTGCACAGAGAAGTTCAGGTGCAGTCAGAGGCCTGACCTTGGCTCAGGGGATTGGTGCTGGGAGGAGGGCGGGGTCAAGAAGAGGATGGGGAAGACTTAGGGCCTCAAGAGTAGGGTCCCCAGGGACCTTGTGGCAGAGCGGTCTTCACCAGCTTGGGGCCAGAGGTGCAGACTGGAAGGGAGATCCAGTCCCAACCTCATTTCCCGTTGGACAGAGGTGTCCTGTCAGGCCCCTTCTTCCCTGGGACCCCCTACTCACCACCCGCTTGTCCATGTCCGCCCCGCTCTGGCCCTGCAGACAGGCCTGCAGCCGCTTGTGGACACTGTGGGCTGCCCGCTTGGCTGGCTCCAGCCGCTGCTCCACCTGGGAGGGGGTGCGGGCATTATGGATCCCAGGAGGTTGCTGTCGCCCCTCCCACCGCCCTTTCTCTTCCCCCTCCTGGGGACTCTATGACCAGCGGCTTGGGGAATGACTCAACGGAGGCCCCCAACTGGCGTCCCCGCCCGGCCCTCGGCTGATAGCCTGCACAGACCTGCCTCGCCACCCACGGCCGGCCCGGGCGCGTACCTGCTGGAGGTCCTCACCCAGGAACTCAGCAGTCTCCGGGGTGCTGTGAGGGGGATAGGGTGGGGGGAGAGCTTCTGCTGAGCCGGCCCAGCTTAGGAAAGCACCCCCCCAACAGGGTGCCTGGACCCCAGGTGCTCCCAGCACCCCTCCCAGCTGGGGCCCGCCCTGGGTGGCCCGCCTGCCTCATCCCAGTCGGAGCACATTCCATGGGGATGGCACTAGGATGCGTGGCTTTTCCTCCTCCACCCAGGGCTGAGTCCCGAGAGAGAGAGAGAGTGGATGAAACCGAAGGGGAGACTGGGGGGGGCACCCTAGGGCCCAGCCTGTCTCCTCTGCTGCCCTGGGGAGAGGAGGCCTGGGCTCGCCCCAAGAACGGGAAGTGTGTGAGCTTAGACTCTGGGGCTGTCAGCCGCACAGGGCGCTGGACTGGAGTGGTGGACAGACCCTGGGCCCCTGCCCAGGGACACGTGGGGACACAGGCCCAGACCAAGGCAGCCTGACTGCCCGGGCCCACCCACAAAGGCGTCTGTTCCAGCGTGAGACCAGAACCAGGTCTCCCCTGGGCCCAAAGATGGGAAACTCCCAATGCAGGGGGAAGAGGAGAGAAGGCGGGCTGGGGGAGCTCCCCAAACTTCCGGCTTCCACTCCACCAGCTCAGGGGCTGGGGATGGAACCTGGAGGCAGGAGATGTTTCCACCTGAGACTGGGAAAGCAGAAGCAAGACAGAGAAGCAAGCCTCTGGGCTGGGGGGAGTGGGGCATACTACGGGACGGGACCGGACTGGAACAGGCCCCTCCCACCACGTCAGGACCCTCCTCCCTCAAGACCTGGGGCCCTGACCGCCCCTCCCCCCAGGCAACCAGAGATGGTTAACTGTCCCCATTGCACAGAGGGGACAAGTGAGGCCAGGAAGGAGCGTTCACTCTGATGCCCATGCAGACAGAGAAGGCTCAGCATCCCTGATCCTCCCCACACCCCACTCCAACCAGGGGCGGCGGGCGCCCCTTCGCCCAAGAGGCAGCGCTTTTCCCTCCTGCTCTGGCTGGGAGGCGGGGGTGGCCTTCAGAGGCAAGAGCGGTAGGGCTCTGGTTAGTCAGAGGGTGGCTGTCCAGCTGTCTCCGGCCTCCCCCCCTCCCCCGCCCCGTTCCTCCACCTTCCCTCGGGTCGTGCGGGGGTGAGCGTGGGACTGAAAGGAATGGAGTGGGCACTCACCGTCCCAAGCTGCCCGTCTGGGCCAGCTGCCGCATGCGATGCAGCTGCCTCTTCATCATCTTGGGAGTGGGCTGTTGGCTGCGGGGTCACGGCAGGGGTCGAGGGCCGGCAGCCCCCAGCCCAGCCTGCCTCTGCCGGCTGCGCTCTCGCCGGGGTTGGGTGGGCGGCGCTCTCCGCTTCCTGGGCCAGCGCGCTCCCGCTCGCGCTCGCTCCCGCCGCCCTGCTCGCGGCTCCGCCCCCGGCCCCCAGGTCACTCCTCTCTCCAAGTTTGGGTTCTCGCTCTCCCCGTCTTCCGGGCTCCCTTCGGCCCTGGCCGGCCCCGAGAGTGTAGGTCCGCCGGTCGCCCCGCCGTCTACAGGTGGTGCGCGCGGCTCCTCGCCGGCCGCCTCGCCCAGTCCAGCGGTGGTGGCGGGAAGCAGGTAAGCCCGCTCCTGCCACCGCGCCTGCCCCAAGTTCCTGCCCCACCCACCGGGGTATAAATAACCTTTGCAACCCTCTCAAAGGGGAAAGAAGCCTCCTTGCTTAAGAGCCCGAGGCCAAGGACAGGCCTTCCTGATCCGGCTTGGCGCATCTGGGTCTTTCAAAGGATACTGCCCTGGACACCCTCCTTGGCCTGCTCCCTGCTGTGCGCCCTCGGACAACTCCCTGGCACTCTGGACTTGCCTCTAATGCCCTGTTGGGCCCGCTGTCCCGGCCCTGTCTGACCCAAAGAGTAGACAAGATCTGCTCCCTCCAGCGACAGTGAGCACTGCCAGAGCAGTTCCCGGACGCCCTGCGCGCCCCCAGCCCCAGCCCCAGCAGTTTTCCTCCATCTGTCAAGCCCCTTCTTCCCGTAAACCTCCTCAGTCCCTGCCCTTCCTTCTTGTAAGTCAGCGATGTGGGTGCTGCTCAGCCCCTCCAGAATCAGTAGTAGTTACATCTCTCGTTCTCCACACAAAACAGAGCTGTGCATACAGCAGGAGCTCCATAACTGCTAGTTAACACACGATGAGTCTTTGGGAAATAGTAGGCTCTCTTTCCTCTGAGTACCTGCACCCCTTAGGCATCAGGAGCCCAGGGGACTGGGGAAGAGGGAGGGGCCCAGGGTGGGGTCCTGCTACAGGCACTATGCTTTTGTGTGCCCCCTACTGGGGAGCCTGGTCTGCAACCCAGGCATGCGCCCTGACTAGGAATCGAACCGGTGACCCTTTGGCTTGAAGGCGGGCACTCAATCCACTGAGCCACACCAGCCAGGGCAGGTACCACACCTTGATTTGCTGGAACTGCGGTTCGGTTTGAGGATCATTTGAGCACACCTACTTGTGTGGGTGGGCAGCCTAGGCAGGACCTCGGCCTCAGGCACCTCAGTGTTTCAGGGCCCAGGACAGGGCCTGGCTCACAGCGGGCACTCGCTGGACCCTCTGTTCCCCACCGGGAGAGCCGGGCAGGCCCCCGAGGGGTGGGGAGGGACGGAGAACGATACCCCCAGCTGCCCGAACTGGAGGCTCCCACCTGGGCAGAAGTCTGGCCAGAAGTTGGGAGGCTGTTGGACCAAAGGCTCAGGCCAGGATGAGGCTCGGTTCCCCTGCCCACTGCCCCTCCCCCAGTGGGAAGGCTGGGGGGGGAGGATTCTACAATGGGGGCAGGGCTTGAAGGATGCCTTCATGGAGGGAGACATCAGAGTCCGGGGGAGACCTGGCTTCTTTTTTTTTTTTTTAAGATTTATTTATTTATTTTTAGAGAGGGAAGGGAAGGAGATAGAGAGAGAGAGAGACATCAATGTGCGGTTGCTGGGGGTTCCGGCCTGCAACCCAGGAATGTACCCTGGCTGGGAATCGAACCTGGGACACTTTGGTTCCCAGCCTGCGCTCAATCCACTGAGCTACGCCAGCCAGGGCTGAGACCTGGCTTCTTAAAGTGTGGGGCTGGGAGACAGTGCCTGTCCTGTGCTCTCCACTGTCATCACCAGCTAGAGCCCAGAAGTCTGAGGTGGCTCAGTGTCCCCTGTCTCTGCCATGGGGACAACCTATTGTGTGCAGAATCTGGGAACTGGAGACCCCCAAGCCAGCAGCGTGACCCCAGGTTGCCACCGTCCTGCCATCTGGGAAGTCTACAGGCTGCAGGGTGCCCCTGCCCTGGTTCAGCCCCGCCTGCGGCCCGGATGATGCGGGCTCTGGGCTTGTCCGCTTTCCCAGCTGTCCCCCCCAGGGTACGGCTTCTATTGAGTGCTCCTGTCCCTCCTAGATTTGCCCAGGCCTGAGCCCCAGCTCCAGCCCAGGGAGGGGTCGGTTGTACCCGTGGGCTGTAGCCGAGGCTGCCGGGAAACACCCTGAGCCGTGTAGCCAGGCCACTGGGGCTCCAGGCTCCCCTGCAGTCAGACCCAGGTCTCTGGGGGAAAGGCGCCTGGCTCTTCTCCGTCCGGCTGGGGTGAGGCTGCTGTGCCTTTTGCAGGGGTGAGCGGTACATTTTAGGGTGCATTTCAGCTTGAGCACACTTGGATGCTGAGTCCTGAAAGGCTGGAAGCCCCACGGGTTGGATCCTGGGATTTTTGCACTCATGAGTGTCAATCGGTGGACGTTCGGATTGTGGCTTCAGAACTGCAAGTGCAAAAGCCAACCCTCGCTCCAGCCACAGGGCTGTTCACACTGCACTGCAAGGGCGTCGTTGACCTTGCTGGGTCCCCTCTTTGGGGCCTGGGTCCCATGTGAGTCACGCTGAAGACTCCGGGGCCTGGCAACATGCGCCTCGGCCCCGGAGCGCAAAGCACGGCTGACTTGAAACTCCGGTGAAGACCAATGGACACCTGTCTCCAGCCCACAGGGCAGCAAGAGCAGGGCTCCGCCTTTCACCAGCCGGGTGACCTTGGGTGAGGAGGTTGACCTCTCTGGGCCTCGGTGTCCTCTTCAGTAAAGTGGGACTAATAGGAACAGTGTCCACCTGTGGCGAGGACCGAGGGAGTCGGCCCGTAAAATGCTCGGAGAAGCGCCCTGTCTCTCGTTTGGCTGGCAGTCAAGAGCAAAAAGGCCCTTTCCCGCCCCTCCCGCCCCCGTCCCCGCCTCGCTGACCCTAAATGTGAGCTGCCACCTTGGGACAGTGGCCCCTAGCTTCCGGCACTAGATCGAGCACGTACTCCAGTGAGTTGGTGCTGTCATCCCCATTTAACAGGCGAGCAGACCGAGGCCTAGTCAGAAAGCAGGTCTGAGGCCGGATTGCCAACGCCCACACGTGCTCCCCGGCCACGTGGGGGGGCCCCTGCCCAGAGGCCCAGAGGCCCCTGCCCCCACCTTCCTCCCCGTGTAGCTGCTTTCAGGAGCCCAGTGGCCTGGTACAGGCCGTCTGAGAAGACCCGGAACCGTCTGGGAAGCGCCTGCTGGGGAGGCTGCAGCAGGATGTGGGCGGAAGGCTGGTGGCTGGGCAGTGAGGCGGCGGTGGTGGCTGGGGTCAGCTGTGGGGCTGCAGGACTGAGCAAAAGTGTCCCTTTTTAGACACGTTGACACATTGCTTGTTTGTGGTCTGCTGGCGCTGCCCGAGTGGAGGCTTCCGCCCGCCCAGCACGGTGAGGCCTGCGGTGTGATTTCTGGGGCTCTAGGGCTTCCTTGCCGCCTCCTCAAACGCCCTTCCCAGGAGCCCCTGGGGCGGGGCCAAGGCACAGCCTCGATGGCCCTAGGGCCTGACCCTCAGCGCCAGACGCAGGGCAGAGCAGCTGTCAGGGCTGAGTGTGTGTGTGTGTGTGTGTGTGTGTGAGTGCACATGTAGGCTCAGGAGGCTGGTGACAATTGTTTGGGTCCTAAAATGCGCATGATACCACCGTCACTTGAGGATGTGCTAAAGACATAACAAAAAGTGGCCTTTATATTCAATGCAGTCCCTGAGCCTCAGGTTCCGCTTCCACAGGGCGGTTACCAGGATTCAGGGAGGTTGCGCGCAGCAGCTGCAGCGCACTGCCAGGCCTGGGGCTGGCCCCTGGCCCCTGCCGGGCTGTGCCTGCGCCCTGCCAGAGGCCTGCAGAGGCTGGGGCAGGCGCATCAGGAGGACAGCAGGACGGGCTCCCCAGGGGAGCAGCAGCTCGTTTCTCTTGGCTAGTCGCAAACAGATGAACTGTGTGCTGCGGTTGCTAAAAAAAAAAAAAAAAAAAAAAAGCCACTGTTGCTAGTCACACAGGCAGTTAAGTGGAAGTGTGGCTTCAAGGTCTGGGAAGTCCTGGTGCTCCTGGGGTGGCAGCTGGGGTCACCCCTCAAGGGGCAGAGCACACTCCCTTCCTGTGGCCCTGTTCCCGCCCGTGGTCGCCCGTGCTGGGCTCTGGACCTCTGTCTGGGCTGAAACACAGTCTGGGGACTGGCTCCTCGGGGGAAGCCAAGGGTCCCTCCTCTGACCACAGATTCAGGCCTCACTGGGCACCTGACACCACCCACTCCCGCCCCCCCCGCCCAGCTGTCAGCGTGGTGTGGAGCTTCTGGCTCACAGGCTCCACGCTGGGCTGTGAGCGCTCTGAGGACAGGGCCGTGCCTGGCCCAGGGGCTGCCACAGAGGCACCTGCAGGACGGACAGTTGGATGGACAGACTAGGAACGAGGGAGGTCAGTCTGAAAGGCAGAAGGGGCCTCCCTGTCCCTGTAACATCTGGTCACTCCACGCTGGCATCCTTGGGGACCCTTTGCCCAGGCTTCGGAGGGTCCTTACAGCTCACAAGGTCCCTCCTCCCTTTTCAGGCAACGGACCTGAAGGCCAGAGCTGGAAGGACCTTGCTCAAAGCGACACGGCAAGCCAGGGGCCCCACCAGAAGCAGTCCCGCTCCCAGGGGGCAGTCACACACACCCCCCCCCACCACCACAGCCCGCTGCCCTGCTGCCCTGCGTCGGCTGCCCCGACACCGCTCTCCACGTGGTGCTGCTGGGACCCTGGGGCGACCTTGCAGGGAATGTGGTGGTTCCACTTAGAAGGAAGAGCCTTCCAACGAGTTTCTTGAGACGTCCCAAGTGTCCGGGTCTGCCTGGGGGGAGGGGGACAGGAGCTAGGAGGACAGTGTCCAAGGGTCCAGCAGGTGAGGAGCTGGAAGTGCCACTCCTGTCCCCTCGGCAGCATGGCACGTGTGCAGCAGCATCCCCCATGCCCTGCAGTGTCGCTTGGCACAGAGAAGCGTCCTCATTTGCCGAATGGAAGCTGGGGAGCCGGAGGTGCTGGGCTCTGGGGACCCCTGCGGGCTGGGCTGTCCTCCAGCACTTCTCAACGGCGTCTAAGGGAAGGGATTTGGTGGCGGAGTCCAGGCTGGGCAACAAGAGACTGGTTCCTTAAATGCAGGACTTCCCACCGTCTGCAAGGGAGCAGAAACGACCTCGGCCTGGAGGGCAGGCTCCACGCGGTGGGGCGATTCCCTGTGCTACCGCCCCCTCGCTCAGCGCAGCGCTGGTTGGCTCTCTCAGCCGCAGCCTCTAAGCCACTCCCTCGGCTGGACCCCAGCCTCCCAGTGAAAACACTGATAACGCGAGGGGGGGGGGCGCGGGGGAAGAGGGGAAGTGCGCTGCCACGGGGGGGTGGGGCAGGGGCCCCAGGCAGGGTCCTCAGGCCTCTCCAGAAACAAGCTGCAGCTGGCACCCTGCTTCCTGGGAGCAGCCTCTGGGGAAAGGGAGACGCCGAGGCCTGGGCCTCCGCGGCGGTGCTGCACCGCAGTTGTGTTTTGACGGCTGAGTGCAGCAGGAGGAAGTGAGCAGCCTGGGCTCCTGGCGGCCCGGAGCGAGCCAGCTCACTCCCAGCTGGGACAGCCCTGGGCCCGCCACAGCCCAGAGCCCTCTTTGGTGACTCAGCACCAACCACGGGCCCCCAAGAGGGGCCTCTTCCTGTGCAGGGCCTGGTGGTGGGGAGAGGAACCATGCCTGATCACCCAGGCAGAGTGGTCTGCAGGGCAGCCCGGGCCCTCCCACTCCTGGACACCTCCCGTCTCCCTCCACCTCAGCAGGGCCAGAGCCACTGGTCCAGGAAAAGGACGTTTTATTTCCATAAATACTCCTGCTCACACTCACACACTGACCCCACATCTGCCCACGACAGATGGCCGCCTGGAGACGGGACGCCCGCAGGAGGCAGATGGACGGAGGAGACGCTGAGGCGGCCAGTGCAGGCCCTGCCTCAGCCAGAGGCCCCACGGCCCCCAGCTGGGGCCCCTGCCCCTGGCACTGCCCTCGGACCAGCAGCCACCGAGTCCCCATGGCTCCTCAGGAGGCCTGACAGCAAAGAGGCCCAGGTAGAGGGGGACCCCTAGAGGCCAGTGGGGATCCCCCAACTGGGCCCCCTGAGACGGCAACCCCAGGGCCAACCAGAAGGAAGAGCTGAGAGTCAAACCACACACCAAGAGTGCAAACAGCTGGGGGTGCAGGCGCCACCCCCGCAGTCACCCAGTTCCTGCAGAGGAGGCCTGAGCTGGTCCCTGGCTCCAGCATGGCCCCAAGTTATGGCTGGGCCTTCCCATAAGGCATAAGGACAGGCGGGGATGACCCCACCCCAGGCTGGGGTTGGGGCTGGGCCTGAGGTCCTGGCCCCCGCCCTGCAGCCATGCTTCCTCCCGAGACCCCAAGTCCTTCCAGGGCCTCGCAGCCCTGCCCGGCCCCAGGCCCCGCCTGCAGTGAAGTCCCCAGTAGTGCAAACCCAGGCCCAGCCTCCCGCTGGGTTTGGCTCAGCAGAGGGGGTTAGAGGAGGAGGGGGCCACGCGGGAGAGGGGAGAAGCACCGGGCAGAGGGGCTATGGCCACAGGGACAAAGGGTGTCCTGGGCCACCACTGCCTCCCACGCAGGCTAGCCAGTGGCCAGTCCTGTTGTCCCCTCCTGCTCTCCCCTCCCCTCCCTGTTCTAGAGGCTCCCCCAGGTCTCGGGTGGGGGGAACTGGTCCACATCCCCCATCTCGTTGTAGGTCTGGTCGCCCATGGTGAAGAGGAGCTTGTAGCGGAGGCGAACCTTCTCCTGGGGCAGAGACGGTGAAGTCAGAGGGTCAGAGGCGGAGAGAGGGCCGCCCCCGCCCCCCAGCAGGGCCCCGTCACGGCCGGGCCCTCACCTTCTGGGGGTTGGCGAGGAGCAGGACCTGGGTGATAGCCGAGGGGTGCACGATGGGGTTGAACGCAGGCAGCTCCGTGCCCGAGGGCGGCTGCAGCTTCACCTTCATGACCTGTGCGCAGGAGAGCAGGCGGGGCCGCGAGTCCTGGCTCCTCTTCCCCACCCCCTGAGGGACCGGGCCCAGCCCACCCGCCAGCTCCTCTTCTGGGCGTCCTGGGGCCCTGTCCTTCTACTCCATGTCCCCCAGGGAGAGAGAGACAGCCCGCCCCCACGCGGCCCCGAGTCACCCTGCCTTGAGAGGAGGGAGGCATGACCGTGTCACCTTGGGGACAGCTGACTGGAACACGATGTTGCGGATGGGCTGGGGGGCGGTGCTCAGCATGGAAACCACCACCACCAGCACGTCGGAGCGCCCGGGCAGCGGGTCACGAGCGAAGTGGAAGAGGACCCGGAAGCCATGCTGGTCATACACGGTCACCGGCAAGATGCTGCCTGGCAGAGGAGGGGAGGGGGGCGATGGGGGGCGCTGGGCTGGAGCCCGAGCACACCTGACCGGCTCCCACAGCTGGCTCACATCAGGGGCTCCCTGGTCTGCTGGGAACGTGGGGACCGATTCACAAACAGGTCCTTGCCACGACCCCCTAGGCAGCAGTGCAGCCAGGGGTGCAGGCTGGAGCCCGGGGGGCGTGGGGGGCAGGGGAACTTGTCGTGTGATGGCAGAGGAAGGCACCCAGCCGGGAACTCAGCCCCACGTGGGCCTCTGCCGACGCCACACACGTGGCTGCTTCCCGGGGTGCTGGGGTGAAGGACTGTGGGAGAGCTGGGGCCCCGTTCTCACGGTGTGACCCCGGGCCTGTCGCTCTGCTTCTCAGGGGCCATCTCACTGGCAAGATGACCCACACCCCCTGGGGACGGAGGGCTGGCGCCCGTGTCACAGTGCGTTCCCCAGCGGGAAGAGGCTGCGAGGACCGGCCCGCAGGTGCAGGGCCGGGGGGCTGCCGGGCCCCCACTGCTCCCGGGCGGGGGAAGCCCAGACCTCGGCCTGGGTCCCTGTCCTGGCTTGGCTGTGTGATCTCAGGGAGGCCCCGAACCTCGGCGTCCTGGCCCTGCCTTCTCAAGAGAGGAGGAGCCGGGTCCACCTGTCAGAAGTCCTCTTGCCTGTGACCGGGAGTGTGCACCACAGTTTTGCAGCCGCTCGGGGACAGATGAGGAGGCTGAGTGCTGGGGAGGGGAGGGGTCTCACCCAGGGCCCCCCCACCCGGCTGCATCAGGTGGCGGGGCTGGGAAGAAAGGCCCACTGCCCCACCTGCTCCCCCAGAAAGAGCTCCCGAAGGGACGATGAGGCGGAAGGTGCCGCCGGGCAGTGGGCTGGCCCAGCCCAGCTGGTACCCGCCGTGCACCCGCCCCACTCACTGGGTTTGATGGACTCCAGGGGCACAGTGACGCTGGCCAGCGAGAGCTCGGTCTGTGCGGGCTGCTGCAGGGGCCCGGGGGGCTCGGGGGACCCGGTGTGGAGGCCGGCGGCACTGGAGCTGGGCGAGCTGCAGCTGCTTTTATTCTGCAGGTCCCGGAGCGTGAGCCGGGGGGCTGGCTGCTGCTTCTCCCTTATTGGGGGACAGTGCGTCGACAGGTGACTCCTCGGTGGCCAAGACATCAGTGGCAGAGGGAAGGCTGGGCTTCCTGTCTGTCCCCGACACCCCAGTCTCCCTGACACCTCGACATGGGCGGCTCTTTGTCTCCCTCCTCCTCCCCCGCCCATTCGGGCTCAGTGTCCTCCTCACAGCGGGCCTTCGTCTTTTCCTGTGCCCGGACGCCTGGGGGCGGGCGGGGGAGTAGGGTGCAGGCCCCTCCCTCTCGCACACCCTGTGCTCTGTGGGACAGGCCCGAGCCTCCCTCGGGCCCAGTGCAGTGCTGGGCACAGGCGGCACCCTGAGGCCACTGCTCACAGGGACGGCCCAGCACGGGCCTCTCCCTGCGGGGTCTGGGACGGGGAGGGCCCCCCCACGCCAGCCCGGGTGCGCCCTCACCACCGCACTTGCTGGAACTCCGGGGGCAGCGACTGCTGCAGCAGGGTCTTCCCCAGGAGGTCCAGGTCGTCCAGACCACTGCTCACCGGCAGGGGCGCCTTCACGGGGGACCAGCTGTCTGCGCTGGGTGCCGGGGCGGGGGCCGGGGGCTCGGCGCTGTCGGATGACTGTGGGGCATATGAAGGTGTGGGGGGTGAGGTGGGGCTGAAAAGATGTCCCCTGTCCTGTGCTGCCAAGGAGGACCCCTCCCCACCCCTGCAGATGACACCTGGGGGCAAGCAGCAGGGAGGGGACCACATTTCTGCCAGGCCCGACCCCTTTCACTCCAGGGCCATTAGTGGGTCTGGGACTCTGCTCAAGAAACTGTCCCATTCCAGGGCGCTTGAAGTCACTCTTAGGAGAGAAGGAATAATAAGGAAGCCCCAACTCAGCCCAAGGGAGGCCTAAGGCTGAGACAGCACAGAGGTGCACCCGGAGGTGCGAGGACCTCTGGCCTTTCTCCGCCTGGGGCCCTCAGGCCACCCCTGCCAGGGGCCCTGCCGCTCATCTGTCCTCTCACTTCCCCCCAGGCTGCCGGTCCCAGCTGCCCTGCTGCCAGGAAGGGCCAGGCCGGTCCCTGGCCTCCCCTACCTGGAAGCTGTTCCATCCAGCTCCGTCCCAGCTTGGGCCTGGAGGGGGTGTGGGGTCACTGAGGCCTGCGGGGAAGAAGACAGAGGTCAAGGAGCTGGGTCCCGGGGCAGAGGTGAGAGAGCCGGGGAGAGAGCCCTTCCTCTGAGGGGCTCAGCTCACAGGGAACCCTCCCCCCCCAACTCCAGCACTTTCAGAGGGAACCAGCCAGAGCAGAAGTAGAAAGCACAAGTCCTGACCGCCTGCTCTCCAGGCCCGCACTTGCTTCCTCTCCTGCTGCTCAGAAGCCAACCCAGCTACAGGCGGACTTTCCCCTTCGTGCACCAGCGGCAGCTGCTGGTGGAAGGCTGTGTGTGCGTGCAGGGTGAGGGAGACACCCCGTGGGGTTCCTGCCCTCGCAGGTCTGGGTGGGCAGGGGTCGGCATCCTGCCCACCAGTGGCCGGCCGGAGGGCTGCCCTGAGTGTCAGAGGGCGCCGTGTGCAGTGAGCGGGGCCCTGGGCCCAGGCCTGCCCCAGGGTCGGAGCGGCTGGGGGCAAGGCGCTGGCTGGGCCGTGGGGGCCCCGCGTGCACCATGCAGGGTGGACTGGGACAGACCGGGAGGGTCCCGCCCGCCCTGGCACGTGCCAGCAAGGCTGGCCGAGCAGCGCCAGAGAGAGCGGTGCACCTCTGGAAGGCTGCTGATTGGTAGAAGGCAGCAGGTCGCCGAGCAATCTGACCTCTGCCTGCTCTGAAGCACACCCCAGCCAAGTTCACCCCGGATTTTACCCAGAGGAGACAAGTTATCCTGTTTCAGCAAACCCCGGATAAGTGAGGCCCAGCCTGAAGCGTGACGTGACTGGCAAAGGCAAGGCGCGGGAGAGGCCACCATCGGGTCTTTCCCTCTGAACGGACAGCTCTGCTACCAGGGACGCAGGTGGTAACGGACAACATCCCAATGTCCCTTACAGGGTGTCAGACGTTTCCGACCCAGGTCTCACTTAATCCTCAAGACAACAGGAAAAGGCAGGAGTGGGGTGCTCATCTCTCTTTTAGAGGTGAGAGAGGAGACGCTCAGAGGGGTTAAGTAACTCGCCCAAGGTCACAGAGCCGGGAAGCGGCAGAGTCGGGACTAGGACAGAGCGTGGCCTAATTTCGGGAGTTTAAACACCACTCTGTCACTTAGCTGTGTGGCCCTCCACGGGTGACAACCTCCAGGCGCCCGCATCAGAAGACACCGTAATAAATCAGATACGCCGCTGCGCCCCAAGAGTGCCTCCCGCCCTCTCTGAAAGACAGGAAGTCCTCACTGGCACCCCTGCCCTGCCCCCACCCCTCACCCTTCCTGCCACAGGGAACCGGTTAGGAAAAGCCCCTTGTGGCCCCAGGGCCTCCTCCACCCCGCAGGGCTGGGGTGCTGCCCGGGCACTTCTGGTTCCTGTTCCCACATTTTCTTTGCCTTCGAGAAGAAACCAGAGGAAGCTGGAGGCTCGCGCCTCTGCTGAAGCAACAGGGGGACAGGAAGTGCATGGCGCACCTCGCCTCTCCCTCTCGTGAGGAGGTGGCTCTGCCACCGCCACCCACGGGGGCGGGCCACGCACACAACAAACGCCCAGCTGGCCCTGTGGGGGAAGGTGAGGGGGAGCGGTCTGGCCCTGCCGTCCTCCACCTCCCTGCAAACAGGGCGGGGACTGTTCGCAGAACCTCCCCCGCCCAGGATGGGCAGGTGGGTGGGACTTGCCAGCGGCCCTGTGGGCGGAGCCTCCTAAGAGCGGGTGCCAGCTGGGGGAGCCAGGGACCCAGGGACCCGTGGAGAGGAACAGAACCTGGTCCGCCCCCGCATCCCTCTGAGCCCCCTTCTCCCTTTCCCGACCGGGGAGCTGAGCCGGAGTACAGACTGGCTCAGGGTAGGGCCTCGGAATCACAGCGGCCTGCAGACCCCCGTGCCCTCTTCCGGCAAGCCACCAGCCTTCCCAGCCTTCCCAGCCTTCCCAGCCTTGCTCCCGCTCCAGAGTCTGCTGGCAGCCCCCAGGGTGCGGGGTGGGTGGAGGCGGGAGGTCTGAGACAGACCCCTGAAGCCCGGGAACCCCAGCGCTCCTGCGGGCCCCTCGGGTTTGGTGCTCACTTCAGAACCCGCTCAGGAGAACCCGGCCTCACTCCTGGCTTCCGAGTCAGGTTCCCAGCACACCCTTCAAGATCCCTTTGACAGAGCCCGACCACGTCTCTATTTTTACATCTTCAGGGTACCGTGAGGGGGCTGCTACTGCACTCTCCTGCTCCTGAGCTCTAGAAGCTGGGAACCCCAACCTGCCTGGTTGGCTGGGCGCCTCCTGCTTCTCCCCGGGGGGAGCCCTGAGCCCATGGGGCCGTGACACAGGCCTGGGTCACGGAGCGAGGCGTGCTCTGGCGCAAGCTGCCCTGGCGCTTCTGGGCTGGCGCTCTCTCTTCCTCTCGGTAGGTGGGGGCGCAGCTGAACTGCTGCCTGGGCAGCACCCAGGTCCGGGCTCCTCTAACCTGCTGCAGGGGAACCTCTCTCTGCGTCTTCCCCTGGGGCCTGGGTGTCGCTGGCTTACCAGGTTCCGGGCTGGCCAGGCTCACCCTTTGACTGTCTGACCTTGCACAAGCTCCTTGATTTCTTTGATCCTCAGCTTCCTCGGTGGTCAAACCGGCCCTTGCTCCAGAGCACATGGGCGGGGCGGGGGGTGGGCTGGAGGAGCCACACGGCGACCCACCAGGCTCCACAGGCAGCGGCATCGCCCCCACCTGCAGCTGAGCCCACCCTCCTCTGCGCCCGGCCCGTGCTCACCCAGAGACATGAGCTCATCATCAAGCAGGGAGACGGAGGCGCTGGGCTGCTCGGGGCTGGCCTGGTCCCCGGGGCAGGAGGGCCTGGCAGGGGAGGCGGTGCCCGTGGGAGGGAGATCCAGGCCCGAGAGGTCCAGCAGGGCCGAGGTGCTGCCTGGGGCGGGAAAGGGGGGAATCAGGCACAGCCTGGGGGAGGACAGTCAGGTCCTCGGGGTCCCTGGGGGTGGAGGGGCAGCAAACTGACCCCCAACCCTTCATAACTCTTCTGCTTTCCCCCCCTCCCTGGCCACCTGGTCCCTCCGCCTAAACCTACCCACCGAGTCCTTTCCTCAGCAAGCGCTGCTACTCCTACCTGGAATGGATTTCCCACTTCTGTCTACCGCCTCCCACCCTCCGAGGCCCACCTCCAACTCCGCTGCTTCTGTGTCTAGTCCTGCCCCCACCTCTCCCCAAAAGGCCAATTCTAACAGCTTCTGTGGTTCTCTGAGCTGTCATTTCACCCCTATTGAAACTGAGCTGGAATGTTTATACATCAAACCCTCCCTACCACCTTCTGATAATTAAACTCAGCCTTGGGGGAGGGCGTTAAGACAGGTCCTGACTTGTCAGATGAAAGAAAGGCCTCCCTTCTTCTGCCGGTCCTCGGTCCTCGGCTCCCTCCCACGGCCCCCATGCACACTTCCGCCCCCCACAGCTGCAGGCCTGGCACAGACTCTCTCCCTGGGGGCCTTCCCATCTCAAGGGGCTAAGGTGTCCCTGGCGGCCACGGCCACCAGCTCTGGGACCGTCGCACCACCCTGGACTCCCTGGTCCCCTCCGTCCTGGCGGGCCCCTCCCCAACTCTCCCGGGCCGCCTCCTCACCGGGGATGGAGCCGGCAGCAGCCTCTCCGTTGACCTCCTCGCCCCGCACCAGCTGCTTGTACAGGTTGATCACCTGTGTGAGGCTGTCGTTGGCCTGCAGGATCTCCGCTGGAATGGGCGGGGGGGGGGGGGGGCTGGTGTGAAGGGAGGTGGGGGCCTCTGGAAGGGGACTAGCTCCCCACACCCATCCCAGAGCTCGGGAGGGGGCAGGACAGCAGGGGTCCCATCTCGTCCACTCAGACTGAGGCCCCTGCTCCCCCTTGTCCACTGCTGCCCCCACACTGCCCCAGGGTGGCCCCTGAACACCGGTCATGCTCCCCACTCCAGCCTCCACACGGCTCTGAGGTCTAGATAACCCCCCGATCTCGGCGTGGCTTCACCCCTTCCTGCCTTCAGGTCTTCACCCAAAGGCCCCTTTGGAGAGGCTTTCCTTAATCCCACCCCACACTACGCAGCCCCTCCCTGCCTGCTCGTCTCCACCTCACTGAGAACCGCCTGACAAGCAGCCACTGCTCAGTCCTGGGTCCATGGTCTGCCCCCTCTCATTAGGCTACAAGCTGCACGAGGTTGTGGCTCTTGTCGAGTTTGATCACTGCCACATCCCTGAGGGAGGAGGAGCCTGTCGGGCACACACTAGGCCCTCATCAGTACCACCTCCTGGGGAGCTGAGGCCTGGAGGGACCTGAACCTGAACAGCAAGCCTCTTGGGGTGGGCAGGCCCCTGGCCTACAGGAGGCACTCGGTGAGCTCCCGCTGAAGGGGGGGCTCGGGCGGCACCCAGACCGATGCCCACGAGGCCCTGCCGATGTGGGAGCAGAGAACAGGACCGGACCCTGATCTGGGGCCCTTGCAGGCGCCTCGGGCCCAGCTCTGGAACTGCGCAGGCCTGTGGGTTCACTCTCAGTCCGTGACGCTCAGCAGTGAGGCAGTGTCTGCAGGGAGAGTCCTGATCTACCCTGGTTCCGCCACTGTTCTCCGTGACCCAGAAAAGTCACTCCCCTCCCTTGGCCCCCCGCTGTGAAACGGAAGGATTTTCCCTCCTGTGTAGCTTGTGGGCAGTAAATGAGGTGTGTCTAAGTGGCTTGGCCCTGAGGGTCCCTCAACCACGTGGGCCCCTGCTCTCGGCTTCTTTCTTCCTCACCTCAGAGAAACCAGGGTCAGTGCTGGAGAAGGGGGCCCCCTGGTGGTGGCTCCTTCCAACGGCAGGTACTCAACAGGGCACGGCGTAGGTGGGGAAGGAGGTGGAGGGATGGGCCAGCTCTGCTTACCTAAGGCCTCGTCATTGTCCTCTGTGTCACTGGCCAGTCGGAAGAGTGTGGGCCTCATCCGCTCGCAGCGCTGGTACAGTTCCTGGGGGTGGCGGGGTGGGGAGGTCAGGGCCGGCTGGGGCCCTGGGGTGGCCCGGGGCAGGGTGGAGACGGGCGCACCTTCATCAGGTCCTCACTGCTGCGGGCTGCAGCGCCGCCCTGGCTGTGGCTCATCACCATCTCCGTCAGCAGCTTCACGTTGTTGTTCACTTCCTCAATGGCGCTCACCCGCTTCGAGATCTTCTCCATCCGCTTCTGGTCCTGGGGAGGCATCGGCAAAGGGCGCTGAGAGCTGCGAGCCAAGCACCGCCCACACCACGCTGTCCGCGGTGTCTGCAGAGCCCCCTGTGCCCGGGACAGGACAGTCTGGTCCAAGAGGCCCTGGGCCAACCCGCTCACTTCCTGTCCCCCTGCCCACGGCCCTGACCCAGGCCTCTGCACGGGCCCCTAAGAGTTCCCTGGGCCCTCGGCCAGAATCTCCAGACACGGCCCAGGCTCTCCTCCACACTGGCCAGGGGATTCTGGAGGACCAGGGCCCGGTCCTAGACCTGTGGTTCCCCGTGAGCCTTGCCTTCCTCGAGTTTGTCCCTTGAAAGGAGGTTCCTGTACTTGAGAGTGAAAGGCCTCAGAGGTCACCAAGGGCCATCTGCACGCTAGTGCAGTCATCCCTCTCAGTGTCTGTGACGCCTGGCAAATGGTGGGTGGGGCCTTGAAAGGCCACCGCAGCAAGTGCCCTGCGACCCAGGCCAACCCTTCTTCCCCTGCAGGCTGCCCCCTGGTGGAGGGAAAGGTGGGCTTGTGCTGTGCCATCCACTGCCTCGCCCTCCTGGCACAGGGCGGGCCCCGACCTTCTCCCGGCGGAGGGTGTGTGGCTTGCCTCTGGGAGACCACCCAGAACTGCCCTCTGGGTCTCTGGACTGCAAACCTTTTTGATGACTTGCCTTTGTCAATGAAAAGCGTTTTAGCACGCACCCATGATATATGTATACAGACGATCCCAACTCAGGACTCTGATGGTGCAACATGAGAGGCATAATACGCTGCGTGCCCGTCAAAAACAGGCTTTGGGTCAGGTGACTTTGCCTAGCTCTAGGCCAACGAGTGTTCTGCGCATGTGTGCGGGGGCTGGTCGAGCTGCGCGGTCAAGTTTGGTAGGTTAGGTGGATTAATCACGTCTCAACTTACAGTATTTTCAATTTACAGCGGATTTATTGGGACACAGCCCCATGGCAAATCAACGAGCATCGTATTTATTTATAAATTAAACACACATTATTCTCTCTCCCTCTCACATACACACTCCAAATGAAGTAAAGCCTAATTTATCTCATTTTTATGGAGAGAGTCAGCCTTGCAGAAGCCCACCCATTCGGGGCAGATGAGCTCAGCTGCTGGGAAATTCTTCCCTCTAAATGGGGGACCCAGCTCAGCCCACCGGGGTCCCCCAGAGTCAGCTAGCCCCCTCACTGCCGGGCCAGCCCCTGAGTGGGGTCGCTGTGGAGTTCCGCACACGCGCATGCAACCCCAGCCCGGCAACCCAGCCTCCATCCCGCCTCCTCCCTGGGCCCTGGGCCCAGCCATCACCTCCTGCACCATCTCCTTGATGAGTTTGTTGGCCGCTCGGAGGTCCTCGGGGTGGGAGCTCTTCAGCAGGCGGGCCAGCATCTGCGAGGACAGACAGAGGGCAGCAGCAACCATGATGGCAGGGCCTGGGCCTCGACTCCCGGGCCGGCTCCTCCCTTCCCAGCCGTGGGGCGTGTCACCTAGGCTCTCCGAGACACGGCGAGGACCTACTGACACCTGCCGGGGCGGCCACAGGGCAACTGGGATGCTGCACTAAGTGTCCCCTGCCAGCAACAGGTTCTCAACAAATGGGGCCGGACGTTCTGCTAGCACCGCCCGAGAGCCGCTCGCAAGGGCGCACGGGAAACGGAGCAGTGGGTACTCGCCGGGACTGGACTGGGTGGAGGGGCGCCTTTACTTTTTATCTCACTCCTTCAGTGCTGTTTAATCTCTTGCCTATGAACACGTTTCTTTAACAAAAAACTAATGAGATGACTGTTCAAAGGGTCACAGACGTACAGACATGCAAATTCCTGGTCACCCTACGAAACGCCCCCAAACCAGCCTCAGGGACACGAGGCACACTCCTGTTGATTACCTGCAGGGGGCGCCGCACAGGGGAACTCGGCCTGCAGGGAGTGCTCAACGGACGGACGGCGGCTGTCACCCGCTACAGTGGCCGTGCTCACCCTGAGCCTCTGCTCCAAGGGCAGGGAGACCCGGGACTGGAATTCTGTGACCCCCAAAGTGGGCCCCGGAGCCCTCACCGGCCCGTCTCACCTTGGATTTCTCCTCATCTTCGAAGATCACATTCTTGGGCCGAGGAGGAGGAAGGGGAAAGACGGCATCATCCGGAAGCTTGGGGTCGGACTTCACTATCCCTGGAGTGGGTGGGCGGCGGGGAGGCTGTCAAATGGGCCCAGGCCCAGGCCCAGGGGCAGGGGGTGAGACGGGGACATGGCCGGGCCGGCGCAGGAAGGGGGAGGGCAGTCTTTCTCCAGCGTGCTGGCCCTAGACCTCGGGGGACCAGGGCCTGCTCCTGACCTGCCCTGCTGGACTGCATGGGGAAGAGTCTGGACACTTATATTTTGAGGCCACTCCACAGGAGCCACTTTCTAAGGAGAAGCCTGACCCGAACCCACCTTCTCTGCACCCAAGTAGCCTCAGGCAGAGCAACAAAAAGGGCTCACTGGCCGTAAGTTCCTGACAAGTTAAAGGACAGGCCCGTGACACTGTGGCCAGAAGCGAGGGTCTGGCTTGCTGCAGCCCAGCTCAGGGAGGAGGGCAGGGGCGCAGGCCACGCCCCGGGCTCCGGCGCCTCACCCTGCTTCTTGAGCATCTGGTAGGCCTCTGCAATCTTCGCCTCCTCGGGCAGGCCGACCGTCCAGCTGTAGAGGAGCTCTAAGATCTTGTTCTTCACCTTCTCTGACGTCCGAGAGCCCTGGTACTTCAAAGACCAAGGGGAGAGGAGACCCTTGACATTGGCTGACCTCAGTCACTGCAAGCCCAGCCCCAGCCCCAGCCTAGTTATCTCCCCAGAAGCCCCTCGGAGACCTGGCCTAAGGGTCCTCACATCCCAGCCTGGTGCAGACGGAGCTCAGCTCTGTCACTCGTCAGCTGTGTGAACTGTGTGCCTCAGTTTCCCCATTGTGGAGTGTGGATGGTAACAGTGGAGCTGTAGTGAGGATGCAGAGCTGAGGCACAGCCCCGTGCCCGCCCATGTAAGGCTTAACTCTGTGACCTCAGGGAGGAGGAGCCACCGGACTGCCCAGGGGAGGGGCAGCCGTGGAGGTGCTGGGCCCCGGGCCCCACTCCGGCTCCCGGCAGTAAAGCAGGCCGAGAGAACCAGCTGTCACACCCGCCACCTTCTGGGACAGCGGGGAGGCCAGCGGGGCCCTTCAGCCACTCTGGTCAGCAGGTCTGAGTGAGGAAGGGCAAAGGGGGTGGGACCTCACCCAAGGGGCACCACACTTGACTCCTCTGGCCAAGCTGGGGGTGTGGCCCATCTGGACCCAGCAGGCTCTGTCACTCAGGTTTGGGGCCTCAGCACCCAAAGCCTTACAGGGGCCACTCTTGTGAGGTGGGGACGGGGAGACCCTCCACTACAGACCCAGGGCCCCATGTGGGCCCCATGCCGGGCCTACAGGGAGAGACCGCGGAGCCAGAGCAGCCTGTGCTGGGGCAGCTGCGTGCACCCCCGCAATGGCCCCTCCCGAGGTGCTGAGCGGCTCCAGGGCCGGCCCACCACCTGCCCGCAGAGGCACTCGTCCTGCACAGCAGCTGTCCTGGGCTCTGCCGAGTGCGGCGGCCCAGGAGACAGGGTCTGCGTTTGTGCCAGGTCCGAACTCTAAGGGGGGCCGAGGCAGCAGCAGGCGTGGGAACCCCAGCAGGAGACCCCGGGGTGAGGCTCTGAGCTCGGGCTGGGAGCACCCACCTTGGGAGACACGACCTTGATGAGCTCATTGAGAAAGCGGAACTTGCCCACCTCATCGTGGAACCTCTTGCCGCAGTTCTTCATGCATGTTTCCAGCACCTGGGGGAGGTAGGGTGCGGGGACCCCCAGGGAGGGTCAGAGCAGGCGGCCTCCCTCCCACTCCCCGGCCAGGGCCCGGGAGCCCGGGGACGGAATCATGAGGGAGAAAGTAACTGGTGAGGACAAGAGGGCTCTGGGGGTCAGAGGCCCTGACACCGATCACTCCCCTTGCGGGGCGGGGGGGGGGAGGTGGCCCCGCCGTAGCCCCTCCATGACTTGGCCACACCAGAGGACCATTTGTGGATTATTTTCTTACTATATTCCTTTGATTGTTTCTTTAAACTTACATTGGCACCCTCCACCTTTGTCTTACCCTAAGCTACATATCTGTGAGATCATAGGACTAACACGCATTTGAGGAAAAAAAATGAAAAAATAAATGTGTTAAAACAAACATGTAACTACCAAAAGGGAAACAGCTCATTACCATCACCACTCCCTGAAATCGGCCTGGCTGTACAGCTGGCTGCCGTGTGGCCAATGCCCGGGGCACAGACGGCACACCCTGCAGTGCCCTGCTGTTACGTTAGCACAGCTTCGAGACCCCTGGCCTGAGCCCGCGTCCCTCCTCGCACCCCCGCGCGAGGGACAGCGCCGCCCTGCGTCTGGAGATACCGACGGGCTGGGCTGACCCCGCAGCGCTCCTGAGAGCTTTGGAAACACGCAGACTCCTGGGTGCCGGGTCTCCAGTTCTGACTCAGCAGCTCTGGGGCGGGGCCGCCTCAGTCTCCTGGAGATCTGAGGCCCAGCTGGAGCAGGGGACCCCCGGACCCGATGACCCTAAGGGGCTTCCTCCCGCAAGAGACCCTTCTGGGATGGGAGGCCAGCCCACTGGATGTCATTGGACCTTCGGGGCTGGCCCAGACCTCCATCCCAGGCCACCTTGGCACAACTCCGAAGAGTCTGACGGGACCCCGAACACCTCAGGCTCAGCCTCCCCTGGTGCCACCCACGTGGTCCGTGGCCGGCCGGCACCCTCTCCTCCCTCCTCCTCACCGTCAGGGCCTGGATCGCCTCCCACTCCTGCGGGGACTGGATCTTGTGGGCCAGTAGCCGGGTGGCAAGTGGAGGCCTGGGTGAGAGCAAGAGACAGAGCCGGAATCGCCACAGAGCTCAGGCGCCACGGGGCAGGGCCGCCGCACGGCTCCGCGAGGGCTGCGGCTCTCAGTGGCTTCTGCAGGGCAGGTGTGAAGGCCCAGCTCCTGCCTGAATCGAGGACAAGGCCGGAGACTGTGGCACGGCAGGGTGGGAGCAGGCAGAGAGTGCCGGCTGGGGCCTTTACGAGGCGTGAGCTCAGCTCCTGGCCAGCTCTACTAAGGACTGTGACCTGCCATGTCCTTGGCTCAGCACAGGGACGAATACGGAACGATGACCACGGCCTCCAAGGGCCCAGTCTGGGAGCAGAGCACGACAGCGTGCCAGGAGACACGAGCAGACGTAGCTCCCCGGGAACTCCAGGTGGTACAGGACACTCTGCTGGGGGAAACCCGGGCGGAAGGGGTGCTGTCCTCCGCCAGACCGCAAAAGCCCCGTCACCAGTGACAGTAGCGGCCAACACGGACCGAGGGCTTACGATGGGCAAGGGGCCTCCCATGCATTTCCCTGCCTAAGCTTCACGAGAGCCCTTTGAGGTGGCCGGCACTGGTGTCCCACTTCACAGCTGAAGGAGCAGAGGCTCAGAGGTATGCAATTACCTGCCCAGCTAACAGAGGGGGTGGGAGTCGCACCCAAGCAGCCTGCCTCCAGAGCACACTCACGCTGCCTGCGTGGAGCTGTGCTTCCCAACCTTCAGCACCACCTGGGGCAGCTGCTGACGCACCCACCCCAAACTCCCCGCCAGGCCGTCTATTCCAAGCCCGTGGGCAGCCCCAAAATGTGTTTTCGCAAGCTCAGGACTACCATCTTCTCTCTGTGAGCTCTTGGGGCAACTGCTGAGTCCCTAGAGCCTCAGTTTCTTCACCTGTACAACGGCCAGCAACGGCCACCTCTGGGGGTGGTTCACAAGCAGCACTCAGAGTGCTCACCGCTGGCAATAATTTGTGAGCACGTGAAGAGCAGAAATGTCTCTGATCGAGGCCAGCGTCTGGAGCCTGCACAGCAGGCACACTGTGAGTGTCACTGAGTGTGAGCAAAGGAGGGGGATGGCCACCTACCCCTCCAAGTCCTCGTTGAGCTGCTCGCAGAAGCCGTTGATGCTGGCCCAGTTCAGCTCCTTGTTCAGGGGGTTCGTGGCTCTGTCTGCGGGAGGAGAGAGGGCCAGTGTGACCTAGCAGAGGAATCCCTGCCTCTCACTCCCCACCCCAGCAACAGGGGGCGCTCAGTATGGGGCATGTTGCCATTGTCTTGAGACCCAAGTGTTGATGTATCATTTAAGTCTGTGGATGGAAAAAAGCCCATCCACTAGCTTCCCCTCGCAGCTTCTCCCCAAAGGGTTCCACTTTTAGAGACTATTCTGGGGCTGTTCCCCTACTCCCCGTCGCCCCACCCCTACGGCTCTAAGTCTGCCATGTCTGATTGCACCTCTGATTCTGCTCCTGGAAGCAGCACCCCCACAATTCTCAAGGAATTGATGCTCAGAGGAGATCCAGAGGTAGGAGAAAAACAAACACACAGTTCCTCCGTCAAGGGTCCGCCCAGCTGGCAAGTGGGCCGAGGGAGCTGGGCTCTCAGTACAAGGAGACAGAGGGAGGCAAAGGAGCCGTGGGCACTGGAGGAGGGGACTCAGCTGAGCCCGGGATCAGGGGAGGCTGCCTGGAAGAGGCAACACAAGCAGGGACTGGAGAGAGTTAAGCAGGCTGGGTGTGCACGCCTGTGCACAGCGCAAGGGCCGTGTGAGAGGTTGGTAACTGGGCACAGGGCGGAGCGCGAAGGGCCCTGGTAAGGAGTACGGCTTAGGTGTCACCTCCTCCAGGAAGTCTTCGCTAACCCCCACTCCTGCCCAGGCTGGCACTGCCCCATCAGCTCTTTCGTCTGTGTCCCTCAGACCTGACCTTGACCGCGGGCCCAGCTTACCACCGCGTCACACCGGCCAGGTGTGTGCATGCCTGTCTCCCCCGGTAAACCAGTGCAGGAAAGAGGGCTCAGCTGCGGGCGGGCAGGAGCGGTAAGGAGGGGGCGGCAAACCAGGCCAAGCGGCCACCTCCCTCACCTCCGACACTGGCTAAAAACAACCAAGTGGGTCACAGAACGCTCCCAGACCTCCCCATCCGTGAAGCTGGACTGAAACACGGACTGATTTGGGATGACGAAGTACTTCGCCCAGGACAAGGCCGAGGCGGCAGCCAAAGGCAGGTCTTCACTACTTCCCCGAGCCTGTCTCCACGTTTCACCCTGTCCCGGCCAGTTCCGCCCGAGCCCGAGCCCTGGGCCAGAGCCACGGAGGGAACACAGCTCAGAAGGTGGGGCAGAGAAGGATCTGTGGACAGAAGGGGGCTGGAGACCTAGCACGCGGCAGCTGCCCACTTGGGGTCCTGTGCTGTGGCTGGGGGCCTGGAGCGCTGGGAGCCCGGGGCCCCGCTGCCGTCCATCCAGCTCATGTTCACTCGGTAAGTGTTCTGAGTGCTGGAGCCGCCGCACTGGGCAAGACCAAACCCTCCCCTCCTGCAGCTCACAGCCCAGCAAGAGACACGCTGCTCAGACAAACAGGCCCACACAAAACACTGTATACCGGTGGGAAGTGATGTAAGAAAAAAAGAAAAACAGAGCAGGGGGAAGGTATGGAAAGTGTTGGCGGGGGCGGGGAGACTACTACCCGGCCCAGCTGAGCAGAGATCCGAATGAAGCACTTTCTCTCCGTGCACAGGCCTCTGCTCCGGGAGCCCTGCAGAGCCCCCTGGAACCTCAGAGGAAAGAAGGCCCGAGGACCGGCCAGGGTACCAGCAAGAGGCACCTCCCCCTAAGTGTGACCATTAAATCTGCCTCGTAGCCCCCCAGCATGACCTGAGGCTGGCGAACACCAGTCTGAGGTCAGGGAAGATGAGGCTGGATACTACCCACTCAATGCCACCCGGATGGGGGACCCTAAAACAGGAAGTCCCTTCAAGTGTCAAAGACACGTGAGTCTGACTGCGGACAGAGGCTGGGTCTAGAGATAGTTCCTGAGTCAGGAGCCAGTAAGGAAGCAGTGGGATCACGAGACAGGCCCTCGGAGGGAGGGCTTCTGAGTTCAAGGAGATCTGACCAACTTCTCTGGCCCTGGCCCCAACCCCCCAGTCCATCCTGCCGATGCGGGGTGGGGGGGGGCACTTTCCCTGACAGGCAGCAGGGGAGAACACCTCCAGGGAGGGAGGGAGGGAGGGGGGTATTTCACAACTGGGGGTGACTTCACTGTGTCCCTCCACAGTGGTAACAATGTTACCGTTTACCCACCAGAAGCTACTTTTTAGCTCTACCCACCAGAAGGGAAGAGCTTACAGTTTCGCTAGGGCACAAAGGGGAAGAAAAAGAGAAAAACAATGTCAGTCCCAATTTACTGGGGTCCAACTGCTGCCCAGCCCAGGTGTCCTGATTCCTCTCAGTTTCCCAGATCAGACTGCGGTCTCCCATTGTTGCCACACCCGACACTGTTGTACCATCCAGCCCTCAAGTCCTCCTGCCTGTCACATCCCTCAGCCAGGGCCCGGCCCATCCGAGACCTGGACACTTGTGGCGCCCTGGAACAGTCTTAATGGCCACTGAGTGCCTCCTTTCCACTCTCCCCTGACCCCCCCCCCCCACCAGGGCAACACCGAAACATCCCTGGAGATGCTGCGGTTCTGGGGCTAACCTCAGGGTTCAACTCTGCTCACCCTGCATAGCTCCCTGGTGTGCCCAGGGCTAAGGGGCTGAGCTGAGGGTAGGCCCAGAGGCCTCCCTGAGGCCCCGGCACAGACATGGGTCCAGCACTGGCCCAGGGAGAAGCAAGCCACAGCTTTCTCCGGGGGCAGAGTCCAGGAGTGGGGCTGTGAGAGGCAAGGATGTCAGCAGTGGAGGGTAGGGGGCTCGGGTGGAAGTGCAATGTGAGGGCTCAGAAGCCTGAGCAGGAGTCGGAAGTGTGTCTGAGGATTCGGGGAAAGGGGTGCAGGGACCTCTGGAGGAAGTTCAGCGAGGACATGGAGTCTTGAGCGGCAGCGCACAGCGAGGGGCTGGGCTGAGGGTAGGGACACAGAAGTTGAAGCGACTTCTGGAGTCAAAGTCGGGACCTTTCACGTCTGTAGGGTTTGGGGGTTTCTTGCTGTGTGGCCAGAGCTTGGAGGATCAGAAGAACCAGTGGGTCCTCCCTTTTGGGGCAGGGGAAACAGGCAAACCTGACAGGAGCTGCAAGCTCAAGGATGGGACAGGAGGGAGTCATGACATGCAGGGCCAGACAGTGAAGGACTCGGGCCCCGGACAGGTGGGTCCTTCCCAAGTCTGAGGTGTAGCCCTGCGTTCGCTCGCTCCCTCTCGGGACCCAAGGAAATGAGTTGGGGGGTCTGCTGTTCGGCGGACAAGTCTGGGCCTGAAGGGGTGGGAGGCTGCTATCTCCGTCCCGGGACTTCTGGGCTCAGGGATGCGCGCAGCTCCCTCTTCGCCGGGGGTCGCAACCCCGGTATCTGATGGGTGGGCTGCCCAGCTTGTAGGACCTTACTTCATCCCAGGGTCCTAGGAACCCGCTCGGGGTGCCGCCCCTCCTGGGACGGGGGCGGAGCGTGAGGAGGGGGCGTCCCGTACCCCGCCCCCGCCGGGAAGGGGCCCGCCTTGTGCCCCCCGGTTCCGGTTCCGGCCCGGCCCGTGCCCCTCCCGGACACTCACTGATTCGTGCCTCCAGAGTCTCCGGCTCCATCTCCGGCTCCATCCGCCACGGGCCCCCAGCCTCGGCACCGCCCCCCGCTCTCGCGGGACCGCCTCGGCACAGCCCTCCACCGATTAAAGGGGCAACGTTCGCCCGGATGCTCCCGAGTGGCGCACGCCGGCGCTCGGTGCCATAGAGATACGAACGAACTCGCCTAGAGTGTCACCTGCTGTCCTAACCCCTCCTCCAAGCGGCGTCTACGTCACGGGCGGGACCCGCCGCCTGCTTTCTTGTTCAAGGCGTTCACACTGGAGGAACTAGGGACCTAGGGCGACACCATGGAAACCCTACAGGACGCTCTAACTCGTTCCGCGTCACGGAGACGCCTGTGACCGCGTCCAAAAGAATGCCCCAAGACAATGTTTCTGAGGGGCTCCGAGGTCACTTCCGGGGCTGTGAGGTCACTCCGGGATCCCTGAGCGTGCACTTCCGCTTAGTTGATAAAGTGGGCGGGTCCCTTAAAAGGGCGATGACATTTGTTGGCTGCTGTGACCATAACAAGGAGTCAAAATTTGTCCATTGCTTTCAACGGTCCAGGCATTGTTCTAAGCTCTTTTGCACATTGATACATTTACTTCCTACAACGAACCCAGGAGCCAGATAGTTTGCCTAAGGTCACACAAATGTCGGAGCCTGAACCCCGTATCACACTTCCTGCATTCCTTCTGCAATCATTGAATGCACGATGCATTTGCTTTGCTCTGTGACCGGCATTGGAAAGACAAGGACAGATACTTATTACACAGTGTGATGGAGGAAGTCTACCGGGGACTGGCAACTCAGGAGGCGCTCTACCGCAAACCGGAGCCTGGGGGATAAGGGGCTTCTCGTCAGGGCAGGTTTCACGGAGAGATTGATACTTAGCTGAAAGACAGATTTCTCCGGGTAAACCAGGTGTAAAAAGATATTCCAGGTGTGTTGCAGGGGAGACTTGATTCTCCTTGCTGATACAGTAAGGATTACAGATCAGCAAGCCTGTCAGTATGTAAGCAGGGTTTATTAGCGATACATGGCGATGGAAGAGAATGAACCTTGCTGTGGTGGGGGAGAAAGGCATGGGCTTGGGCAGTAAAAAGCATCAGGTCTTTGGTCTTAAGGACTTACAGAACTTGCAGGATGGGGGTGAGGGAGTTGCATATAGATGGGTGGGTGAAGGCAGTGCCAGCTTCCCCCAGGGACGGACGTGACCTCCTAAGTGTAGGTATGTTGAGGCTTGTTAGCCCAGAATCTTATCTTGCTCCAGACCACATTTGTTCATCTTGTTGTAAAACAGATACATGAGAGGAGGTGGTTAATTAAAGTTGAGGAGGCTTCCCCAAGTTATTTATGGGCTCTCTCTGTAAGCACTGGGGACCCCCTTGTAAAATAGACAGTGACCAGGGGCAGGCAATTAACCAAAGTTGTTTTATGGGCTTTTCCTTTGTGCGCTGTGGACCCCCAACCACCTTCCTCCTCCCTGCCTTGGTTTACTATCTATCTTGCCTAACAAATGGAGGGAACCAAACGTTTCAGGGCTCACAGGGGAGAAAGGGTATGGAGTTCAGGGAATTGAAATTATTTCAATATGGCTCTGAAGGATGTTGGCCTGGAATTAGGCCCTGGCGAGATCACGCAGGTCCTGTGTTTAGTTTTAGTTTTTGTTATTGTTGTTGTTTGTTTGTTCTGTAAGCTATGTTGGAGGTGCCACGGGTGGTGACAAAGTCAGGCTTTTCTTTTAGAGAGGTCCAGACGGAAACAGCAGGGGGAAGATACTCGGGGGGAGAGGGGCTGCCTGAAATCAAGGAGGGCAGGGTGACTGACTAACTATTTTCGGGGCCTTTTCTCCCGCTCTTTCTCCATTGAAGACTCTTCTCATCTGCCTTTGCCACCCGCGCCCCGACACCCGGTGACGTCACACCCAGTCTGGCTCACCTAGGTCGTTTGCAGTCGGCCGCCCCCTGGCGGCCTGTCGGGGAGTGGCACCCTCTCCGACTGCACAGTGCTTGGGAGGGTTAAAGCGCAACAGAGACTAGGGAATCTGACGAATCCAGTTCTGCTTGGCTGTGACCTTGCGAACAGCCTCGATTCAACTTGCAGAACAGCAGTGACCTCATCTGGGAGATGAGTGGGTTATGCTGGGCCAGGTTTTTTTTCCCCAAACTCAGCCATTCAGGTGATTGGGACGGTTTTCTCAATTCTGCTCCACCAGCCCTTGAAGTTCTATGGGAAAGTGGTATGTGTGTTTATTGCATTTCTCAGTAAAAGTTGTGACATCATATGAACTTAGAGCGCTTCTCGTTGGTTTCTTTTATTACCGAAATGAATTATTACAGAAATAAAACCACCACATTGGTTTGGGGCATATCCACGCTGTCAGGGGCCACTTTTTGAAGGTAGCATAGATTAGATTTCACCTGGGTTCAAATTCTGCCTTCGCTGCTTTCTCAATCATATGGCCTAGGGCAAGTCACTCAACTGCCTTACTTCTCAGGCTTCTTAGCTGAAACGAGGCTACGAGAATTCAACGAGCAGGTGTCTGCCCATTGAAGCCCCCAGCACACTGTCCCCACTCACTCTTCTCTGCTGGACTCGTCTTCTTAGCGCTTATCTCCACCGTTCTTCAGGGTGTGTCTTCGTCTCTCTCCCGCCAGAATGTACATTCCATCAGCACAAGGCATTGTATCTGTTTGGCTCACTGATGTATCCCCAAAGCTGGAAAGAGTAACTGGCACAGAGTGGGTTCCACCAAACGTGCATTGAATAAATGAATGAGTAGAAACTATTGTTCACAAGTCTTATGGATCGAGGGGTGCAGGGAAGTGCTCAGTAGTGCACAGTGAGAGCGTGTGCACTCACGTACACTCCAGGTTGTGTTCTCAACCGAAGCCCTAGGCTGTGCCTCAGGGAAACCCAGAGAACAGGGATTGCTGGGGGAGACTCAGGAGCTGTGCCTGTGCAGGTAGGGCCTGGCCCAGACCGGGAGTCAGGGTAGAAGGTGTGGAAAGAGGAACCTGAGGATGGGGAAGGGAAGGAGGACCAACACAGGAAATAGGAAATGCAGGAATTTAGCCCGCGCCCCTGCTTCCTATCTCCACCATTGGCAAATGTGTTGCTCTGGGTGACATGGGAACCCCCGGGAAGAGAGGGGCAAGGAAAACTGAGCTGTCCTTGAAACAGCTGTAATCAGCAGACCCACGCTGACCTCCAATGGCTTAACACCTCAGACCTTTCCCAGGAAAACCCCTCCACCACTGGAAATGCTCTGAGGACAGCTAGGAGAGGAGGCGGGGAAAGAACTCAGAGGAGCGCTATGTGGGAGGGCGTGCGATCCTTTCTCGGGGAATTGTAGAAGGTCCAGGGAACACGCTGAGACACGGCCTCCACTCCAGGCCCTGTGACCGCAGTCAGACTCCGACTCACCTCTTTCTTCCAGGTGAAGGACACAAAGGCTATGGCTGTCATTGTCTCCTATAATTCTCACACAGACCTCAGAGTTGGGTATTATTCCCTCTGCTTTCTAGATGAGAATTCTGAGGCCCTGTGTAAGGAGGTTCTTGGCCAATGTTCCCACACAGCCTCCATCACAAGAGCCCACATAAGACCAAGTTCTTGCCTTTAAAAGGACCAAAACCAGAAAAACAAACAAAACCCACCGAAATAATTACAAAGGTATCCAAGCTAGCTAGTGTGAGGAGAGTGGAGGCCATGAGACTTGTAAGCTGAGAAGGAGGCTGCTGGAGAAAGGGTGTCCAGGCAGAGAGAACAGCAAGTACAAAGGTTCTGAGGTCAGCTAAGACCAGAGTCAGAATTTGAACTCAAGCTTGAGTCTCTGCCTTTAAAGTTTGTACTGAAGAGAGGGCAGGCATCAGAAAGATGGTAGAGTGCACGGGGTGTATGTGTTGGAACTCCTTATATATGCGTGCAGAGACAGGGAGGGGACTCATTTCCAAATCAGAACTAGACCACACAGTATAAGGAAGATTATTGCACTGATTTATGATTTTACATAAATGAAAAGGCTCACAAAGTATTAAAATTCAGTGCTATTTCCCAGTATGTTTAATGCATTTTCTTTGCTGAAAAGAATGACTTTGCCCTGGCTGGTGTGGCTCAGTGGGTTCAGCTCTAGCCTGCAAACCAAAAGGTTGCTGGTTCGATTCCCAGTCAGGACACATGCCTGGGTTGTGGGCCAAGTCCCCGATTAGGGGTGTGCGAGAGGCGACCGATCATTGTATCTCTCACACATCAACGTTTCTATCTCTCTCTGTCTCCGTCCTGTCCCCACTCTCTAAAACTAAATAAATAAAATCTTTAAAAAGAAAAGAACAACCTTTTTAGGTGGAAGGCATATATAAATGCCTATGTTACAGAAGATGATCTTATTGAATGTTCGCAATTAATGCTTCCCCAGAAAATCTGGATTGCCTGAAATAAGGGGGCAGCCAAAATAAGATTCTATTCAAAGGAGACTGAGTCCTACCTTATGTGTGCAGGGAGAGGGCTGAGGCCATTGGATTGGTGAACTTGGTCATTGGGCTTTTCCCTGTCCAATGACATGGTGTTGGGGGATGGGTGTGAACCTCCCTTGTGATGGTTTGTTTCACCGCCTTTGCTCTGATTCCATGATAAAGATAATTTGCTGCCAGTTATTGACTCCCCTGCTGTGTGACATGTGTCATACCTTTGAAGTAGGGATTAGTTTCCCCACTTTACAGAGGAGGAAACTGAGGTCCAGAGAGGTTAGAGGAAACCTTGACCAAGGCCACAAGTTAGTGGAGCACCGAGACCTAGTTCTGCTTGATTTCCAAGGTTGCTCAGGCTCTACTCTGCTGGTTTAATCCTCTGGGGAGCTAATGAGGAATGCAGGCTCCTGGACAATCTCATATTCAGCTTTGATTCTCTGGGGACGTGGCCCAGGAATTCGCAACCCCAAAATAGCTTCATCCTGTGCTCAGTCCACTCCTCGCTCCCGGAGACCCCTGCTCCTACCTGCCCTGGTTCTTCAAAAACTTTAGGTCCAAGATGGGCAGGACCAGGGTGACCCAGGCTCACCCAGGAGGTCTGTCTGTGCGGTGTGGGCCATCTCTGCAGATCAGTGGGACACTGGTTCCCGCCTTCCTTTGCCCCAGTTCTTCTAACCTCAGCCTCTCCCTGCTCTGGTGCTCAGGTGTACAAGGCGGGTCACACTTGCTCGCCAACATGCCAACTGGGTCGGGGGAGTAGAGGAATAAGGGGTTGGGGCGTGAAGAGCCTGAGCCACCTTTTCCACCCCCACCCCTTTCCGGAGGGTACGTATCTGGCTTGCAGGAGGTGTGGCCATAGGGGCCGCCACTCTGGCTCGCACCCCATTGGCTAGAAGGAAACTACAAGAACC